ACACACACACACACACACACACACACACACACACACACACACACACACAAATGGTTCACTTGTAGGCAAGCTGTCACCAGGTTATGTCCATAATCCCCCACGCTCACCTCTTCCCTCTTGTCTCTACCAGACTTCTACCTTCACCCTGGGCCTCCTTATGCATATTTAGAAAAAAGTTTATTAGTGGTCCCTCTGCTGTCACTTAGCTGCTATTGCTGTCTTTGGCTACTGTATTTTTTCCCTCCTTTTGCATTTTTATCATTTTGGGTGTCTGAGAAACAATCTCATCTATTCTGGTTTTCTTTCAAAAAAATGTTTAAACACCTCTTTATTATTGAACATCTATCTTTTTTCATGTTTGGTTAAGTTCAGATTTGCAGGGTGGGTCTCCCTGGGCTGGATTCTGAGCTCCACTGCTCTTCGGAACACCTTATTCCATTGCCTCCTACATTTTCTGGTGGGTGTAAAATCGTCTTTCAAATTTCCTTTCCTTTGAATTTGAGGGTCTTTCTCTTGATCACACGCAGAACTTGTCGTGTCTGAATTGAATTGTTACATTTAACCACTATGTGTCTTAGGGTTTGTAGCCTTGGTCTTTTTTTCTGGAGATCACTTGTGAATTCTTTAGATAGGTACTTCATTTTCTTTGTTCAGAAGTTCTAGGCAATTCTTTATTATTTCCTCCATTACGGTGTTAAGGGTTTTTTGTCCTGTCATGGCTTTCTTGGAGACCTATGATTGCTAGGATGTCTCTACACATCTTGTCTTCAAGGTTGGTGTGTTCTGCTTGCACAGTAAGCATATTTTCTTTTTTTTTTGTTTCTCTTCTAATAGATTGCCTTTCACTTCTGTTTATTTGCATTCCCAATATATTGTTTTCTTTCCTTTCTTTTGAAAGACATGCCATTGCAGATTCTAGGTTTTTTATTCTGCCCATTATTTTTGCTGTGCAACCCATCTATTCTACTCTCATGATTGTCATTTCTCTTCTGAACCACACTGGAACAGCATTTCAGGGTTCCATGTTCTTCTCACATTCCACAAGGTCCTCTATCTCATCAAGTATTGGATCATCTCCTCTGTTCAGCAGTATTTATTCACAAATGCCTTCACTTGTTTACTAGATCTGGAGGCCGTACTTCCTTCTGCTGTTAATGTTTTCCATGCTGCTTTATCTGCTCTGAGTCCTCTTTTTCCTGAGATCTCTGGTACTTTCAGTCTTTTTTTTTACCCCTCAGATCTTCCCCTATGTCCTCTCTTCTGTGTTCTCTCTGCTGATGGTTTCCTTGGGGGCTGGATCTCAAAGCCTTCTCCCATTCTGGGCAATTCAGAGTTCACCAGCCTGCGTCTTTGCTCCAAGTGACTTTTGAGTGGTCAGGATTAGCCCCTGCTGGATACCATGCTCTTTCCTTCAGGCTTTGTGGAGCATTACAGCCCTCCTCCCCATTCTGTTCTGGTATTTAGGTCCACTCCCTCTCTTTCTCAGTTCTCTGAACTGGCACCAGCAGTACAGAGAGCTGCCATGCTGGTGCCACAAGGGTTGTCCATTTCAACACTGGCAGTTCAGTGATTGGCAGTGCTGGTGCTACCCTAGTAATGGCAATTCAGAGCTTTGCACCATCGGCTGTTTGTTATGGCCTAGGCAAACGTCTGCAGCCTGGAGCTGGGGGTCTCCACAGTACTGAAAAGAGGGAAGGGGACTTGGTTATGGGAATTAGTTTTGTTGTAAGCCTGTGTTGGGTCTTTGTGTCTGCTAGCGAAGCCTTGCTGCTGGTAGCATGGGAAGTGAGAGATGGGTACTGAGTGAGATCAGGGTCAATGAGCTTTTTTGTTCTGTTTTGTTTTTACCATCTTTTGGATTCTAGGTGTCCTACACCACAGAGAAAAGAAAGTGCTTTATCTTTGGCATATAGTTTCTGTTTTGGCAACATCAAAGAAAATGTCTAGACTTCCACGTTGTTGCTCACATGACTCAGAAATCCTTATTTACTCTCATGACTTTAACTACCAGTTGTATGTATATGGCTCCTAAATCCTTATTTTTGTCTAGTTCTCAATATTATTTTGACCTCCGGACTCATACTTGCAACTGCCAATAGATTATCTCTAACAGAATATCCCACAAGTACCTCAAAGTTAAATTAAGCTTATTATCTTTCCTTATAAATCTAATCTTCCTTTTGAATTAATTATCTCCATATGTTCTATTACAACTTCCTTTACTTTTCATGTTTATAACCTTGGGGTTATCTTTGACCTCTCCTTCTCCCTCATCAAGACAGTGTCTAGATTGAATACTGGACTTGGAATCAGGAAAACCTTAGTTCCAATTCTACCTTTTCCATTTACTAGCTGTGTTAACCAGAGGCTTGGTTTCCTCATATACAAAATAGTGGGCTATAGAGTGGGATTGACCTCAAGTCCCCATAAGCTGAGATCTAGAACTCTATGAACTCTATCTCAACAATGATCAGGACCTGCTGAAAACATCCCCCTAATAAATCTTGACCTCATTCGCTCTGCTCTATCAGTGCTGCCGCGACACAAGGTTAGAGACTTATTATCACTTGCCTAGACTAATAACAGTCTTTCAGATCTTCCAGTCTCTACTCTTCTACTCTCCGTTCAGCCCAATATTCCTACTGCTAACAGAATTATCTTCTTTTTGAGAAGATCTGGTCATGTCAGTCCTCCAATCAAAACTCTTTGGTGCCTCTCTAGCCTCCTAAGGGAAGTCCAAAAAACTCCTCTAGACCTAAGAGTCTACACAATATGGTGATACCCTACCTTGAAGTGGAACAGCAGATAGATAACTGAACTCAGGAAGACCTGAGTCTGAGTCTTGCCCTGAACACCTGGAAGCTGGGCAATTCACTTAACCTCTCTCAGCCTCGGTTTCCTCATCCGTAAAATGGGTAATATAATAGCATCCACCTTACAGAGTTTTTATGAGAATCAAATGAGATATGTGCGTATGAGTATGTATATGTATATATGTACATATGTGTGTATATGTGTACGTGTGTATATATATAATTTTACAAATTTTATGATACTATTACATCTTATTATTATTATATTATTCACTTCACAAAATTTATACTCCATCCAGGCCAGACAACTTGGCCTATACAACACACCCTGAACTCTAACATCCGTTTCCCTGCTCAGGCTATTGCCTATTTCCTTCCAGCTTGAAACTCTTTGAATATCTAATTACTCTTCTAAAGCCCAGTGCAAATGCCACCTCCTCCAAGCATGGGGGCGTTCCTAACCTTTTTTGTGTTGTGGACACCTTTGGAAGACTGGTGAAATCTATGAACCTTTTCTCAGAATAATGTTTTTAAGAGTATAAGATATAATACATAGAACTACAAAGGAAATAATTATATTGAAATACAATTATCAATATTTTCTTTAAAAACAAAACAAAACAAAACATATTCATAGACCTCCAAACCCTGCCCAAGATAGGAAAAACCTTTACCTCATATTTCACCTTGATATGCACCTGTAATGCAATTATGTAATATTTTGCATAAACATAATCTTTTGTCTTATTGACCTACAAGACTACAAGCTCCCCAAGAGCAGGAATCATCTCCCCTAGCATTGTGCTCTGCATACAAGAAGTACTTAATAAATATGTATTATATTTTACTGTTGTATAATTAAGATAAGAGGCAGGCAGCATAGTGTACAGAGTTCTGGACTTGGAATAAAGCCCAGAATTCAAATTCTACCTCTGACACTTACAGTGTGAATATCAACTTATGTACCTCAGGCAACTTCATAGGACTTATCCACTAAGTCATAGGTCAGTCATCATCTACAATGATGAAAGGAATTTCCACACCAAGAATTCCTCACACTGACAAAATCAGATTCTCTGTATACATATGATTATAAAAATGAGAACAAAAAAAAGCTGTAATACGAAATTAGTTTACCTTATCCATTAAGTATGTGGCAGAAGAAAACCTTTTAACTATGAATGTATTCCACATCATTAGGGCAATGCCTAAAAATTAAGAGCAATAACAGTGAATAGAATGCACAAGACATCTACATAACTCTACCATGTTTGAAGAGCTAGAAACTTCTTAAAGCTTAGAAATATTATGGGTGATTTAAATAGCTTTAATATTGGTTCATTTGCATATATAGTTAATGAAATATCTCTTCAGAATAAAACATCAAACATTACTATATTAAATGTATATCCATAGCAGAACAGAGGATGGGAATTCTAAGGTCACTGGTGTACTGAACACACTCATGCACACTTTTTGTCTTCCATATGCTAAAGCCCCTTGATGGCAAGTCAAGTCAAGTTAAATCAGATACTATTTTGCTTGTGTCTTTGTATCCGCAGTACCCGGAACCAAGTATTAGTGTATAACTACTATAGAATTAATAATATTTTTAATGATCAAGAAAATCTATTTCTCTAATGAAAACCTCTTAATAAAGAGACCTGTTCTCATGATATCTTGATGATGAGCTATAATTTTTTCCCTGGAAATTAATTATTATTACATTGGCATGTTAAGCAATATAAAAAATCCATACTCAACATATGATATATAAGTATCAGTTTTTGAGGTATAAACTCAGATTTCTGAGATATGAACTATATGTACCATAGCCCTGGTTTCTGCTGCAGAATATAGAAACTAAGGCAGGAATTTCTGGGGAGAGACCAAATTTTTCCCAGGATCTTCAAAGAGTTTATGTAAAATGGAGACATTCCACATCACCTACTTCATTGCATGGAAAGTGTCCAGGGAACATAAGGGAGAGAATGATCCCTCTGACGCTATCTGCCACAATAGCTAGACCTTCATTCTAATTTAGCTTTAGTAGCAGAGATACATATGAAATTTATAAAGATGACAGTATTATTTCAGATATAGCAAAATCTTGAAACTACAATTCAAGGTAGTATCAGCTACATATAAGCATGCATGATTTGAAGCATTTTTGCTTTATTACTTATTAAGAATGCACTATGTAATGGACTACTTACCATGCTGCACATGGGCATTAAGAACACTCTTCAAGTGTTCTATAGACCTAATGAAAAAACGTGCTTCCTTACATATGGGAAAATAAAAAGAAAAGTGATAAAATATAATTTAATGTGTTTCATATGCAAATGGAGATTAAAATCATGCTTCAATAACTAAAGTTATCTTAAAATCTTATAAATCACAGAATAATGTAAAATGTTAACTTTTTACAAGGTTATTTCAATGGTCTCTTCTCAGGTTATTCACTCACAAACACTACTTTTCCTAGATAAATCACTAAACATTTGGCAAATCTAGTATGATTTACTCTCATCTGATGACAGTAGCATCAAGATGCAAAATCTACTTTGGCGCTAGTCTTAAATCACTCCAGTACGTCTATCTTCTTATAAGAATTTTTACGCATATATAACCAAAAACTTTATAAAAAATAAACTTTTTAAAAGAAACAGATTCTCATTTTCTTTTTTTGCTTTCTTTTCTATTTAATGTTTATTTAGTATTTTATTTTTCCCCAGTTACATGTAAAAACAATTTTTAACATTTGTTTTTAAAATGTTGTTTCAAATTCTCTCCCCCCCATTAAGAAGGCAAGCAATTTTATATAGGTTATACATATGTAGTCATGCAAAACATTTCCATAATAGTCAGTTGTGAAAGAAAACAGACAAGAAAAAACTCAAGAAAAATAAAGAAAGTAGATTCTTACATTCTAAGAGAACAATATAGAGGATCAAGATTTAAAGCTATTTGAATATAAACAGATGATTCTTTTTCAGTAAAAATATTCAGATGTGTAGTACAGGAGGCCTGATCAAATTATCCAACAATTAATAAACCATTTAATGTTGGAAGTGTTGAAATAATTTAAATATAATTAAACCTTTGCCTAAAATATACTTACATTAGAGTATATTGAAAGGCAACTTTAGGTGTCTGATACCTAATTTTGAGGGGTCAATCCATGAATGTATGTGAAGATAAGGGAGATGTATACAATTTACAAAGAGAAACAATTACTATCCATACTGCAAATAAATTTATTGTTTAGATATGTCTACTATAAACATCTCAGAAGTAATGTCATTTACTAAAAATTGCATGAATGAGTTCGTAAGATTTTTTTTTTCTCTGACAACTAGCTGAGATCAAGGTATTGATCTAACAGGATTTTTGATTTGAGAGGAAGCAGGGATAATTTGTAGACAAGGGTCACAACATCCAAATATCAAGTCTATTTGGGGTATTACATTTGGTAACATGAAAACATTTGACAACTTAAAGAGGAGTATGGACAGTATAGCTGAGAGGAAATAGACAGGAGGTCACTGAAGGAAAACTTCAAATTTTATCCAGAGTTGGCCCTACATAACTTACAGAACCAATATGATTTTCTTAATAACTAGGTTCTAAGAATACAGCAAGATAATTTTATTAAATTCACAAACATTTGCACATATAGTAATTATTAAGAAGAAATCAGATAAGATTCAATAATGCTACGTTCATCCTGATTATTAATACCTTAAGACTTTAGTCTTGGTTGTCAAATTTTAATCTCACAAAAGGTGAGGAAGGAATAAAAGTGACTGGGGTTTGTACTTATTATTACAGTCTAAAAATGATGAGAAAAATCTACTGTATATTGTAAGCTACTTATTAACAAACAGTTCCACATTTGTAGGAGTAGTTACAGAAAAAACCTAATTTTTAAGATTGAAAGATAATCTTACCTCTGGATCTTTATTCCACTGAACAACATATTCCCAACAGCAATGTGCATGTAACACATCTAAGTCAAGACTACAAGGAAACTGTTGATAGGCTAAATTCAGCAATTCTGAAAGTCAGAAGTTGGGACATGTTTTTCATTTCTTCATGTAATGAAAATCAGTAATATCATTCCACTCTAAGATTTTTGCTTTTATGTATTAGTTTATTTTACCTAGGATGGCTTGTAAATCCTCTGGCTCCTCAAGGAAATCTTTACTAATACCTTCTTTAGGTTCCTCTGAATTTTCTGGAATTCTTTCTTGATGAGCCAATTTTAATACATGGGGACTGAAGTCCTGTTTAAATATCCATTTTGCTACACTGTCTGCAATTCCTCCTAAAGTTTGGGAGGAGGAGAGATGAGTAAGAGACAAAGAAAAGTAAATTTTAGGCAATGGAATATCATAAAGATGTCACTATGGTGACTCTGTGTAAAACAGAATGCTAGCTTATGAACCAAGATACCTAGCTCTACTTCTGGACTTAAGCTTAAACATGTCAAGTCAACAAACCCTTTCTATGCGCCAGGCACTATGCTAGAAATGTCTCAATCTTTGTTTTGGATTCTCCGTAATAAAACATGGACTAAAAATAACTATTACTTACCTTTTGAGGACAAGTAGGATACTATGTTTCAAACCTATTTCTAGCATCAGGAGTTCTCAGGCCTTTGCCACCATGCTCCCCTATTAATACTCCTCCTAATTTTCCCTATCCTCTTTTAGGGGATAGAAACTTTTTTCTTTTTGCTCCTATCCTCCCAGTACTTCACATAGTGCCTGGCATACAGAAAGCACTTAATAAATTCTTGTTGTCTTTATTCACAAAACAGAATATTATAAATATTCAAATTTTTTCCACATATTTAATATAAATAAAAATATTCAATATATTTACTTATATTTCTGAAATGTTTTAAAACATACAGGACAAAGGAAATGAGGCCACTTCCTTTGACTCCTTATAATAATTCTAACTGAATGATTACTAAAATGAAAATATTTCTGCTCTGTAATATCTTAGAAGCATAAAACATGACCTTTAAAAGATGAAATCTATACGGTGGTTTTTGCTTAGAAGGACAATATTTTAAGAGCACGATGATGTTATATTTTAGCTATACATATGGCAGTAAATGAAAATGATTCAAGTGCATGCTGGGTGTCAAGAGTGTGATGGGTGAAAAATGAAATGACTGAGGAAACAAAAGTTGGAGCTTCCAAGCATATTGATTAATTAGGCAATGAATTCCAATTGCCTAACAAATCAAGACCAGTCCCCTTCCTCAGCTTAGGGCTGGACCCCGAAAACAGGGGAGACACATTTTTATACTTTAAAAGCAATTAATCAAATAAAACCAACTAATTAGAAGGAAACAATGCAACATCAAGTAATTTGATTTGTAATTGGAGGAAAGACTAGGGACTTTCCAAGTTGGGAGGGGGAGAGTAAATGGGCACAATTTCCTGAATTCAGGAAAAGAAAGGTCCCACTACTCCCAAGTGTCTGTATTCAATCAAAGGAAAATGTAAACAATAATTGATTGATCAGTATGGGGTCAGTTTTCAGATAAGACATAAAGGTTGCTTGAGAGGTACAATTGTGAGAAAATTCCTTCAATCAATCTTTGGATCTGGCTGGGTTTCTGGTCAACATAACTGAGGTCCTTAGTTAAGGTTCGCTAAGTAGCAGGTAGGGGTGGTCCAGCTTCCCAGACATGCATGTCTAGGTTCAAAAAATTCAATAAGGTCTTTTCAAAATTCTCACAATTGAATAAAGTTTTCTCAGAAGACAGAAATCGGACTAGGCCCATAATTGAACAGAAAGGGAACTGAGTTAGTTCCAGAAGTGAGCCACAGTAATGGTTCACTCACTTCCCACCACCATTTGCTGCTTCAATCCTCTCAATTCCCTTAAGGGCAAGTTAACTTAGAATTTAAAACTGGGCAGAAAATGTTAACATGGAGAAATAATGGAATTCAGCTCCAGAATTCAAGAAACTGAAGAACATAAATTACTTGGGACTTCTATTTGCTAAGAAATGCTTGAAAAATGGGAAAGAAGTTTGATATGAATTAAATTTAGACCAACATCTTATGTTATACACAACAAGCTCAAAATGGACGTGACTTGAATATTAAAAAGGTCAGACCACAAAACAATTAGAAGAGAACAGTATAAGCTATAGATGGGGAGGGAGCTCATCAACAACTAGGTACAACTAGGAGAGGAAAGGAAATAATGGAATGGGAAAAATGTTTGTTTCAAATAGCTCTCATAAAGGTATGAGAGAGTATGTGAGTGAGTATGAGTGTGTGTGTGTGTGTGTGTGTGTGTGTGTCTGTGTGTGTCACAAATGTACAAGACCAAGAACCACCCCCATAATGGACAGGTGGTCAAAAGATATAAACTAACAATTCTGAAAGGAAGAATAGCAAACTATTAATAATAACCACATGAAAGATAGCTCCAAATCACTAACAAAATGAAAAATGCAAATCAAAATGCCGCAGTTTCATCTGACATCCAGAAAACTGAAAGAGGTTCTTCCTAGTCCTTCTACAGGCTAGTCCCCTCTAAGGTTACCTTTTCTCCCTTCTGTACAAATCTTATATATACCCATTTACTTCCATGTTATCTCTCCCAACAACAGGAAAGCTCCTTAAAGTCAGGGCTGTTTTTCTTTTTCTTTCTTTCCTTCGCACTCAGTACAATGCCTGGCACTGAGTAAGCACTTTACAAACGCTTGTTGATTGCCTGTTCATTAATATCAGAGGAGACAGGCATGCTAATACTCTGCTGGTAGAACTGTGACATGATCTAATCATTTTGGAGAGCAATTTGGGATTATGCTAAGAAAGTGAAAAAAATAAAAAGATTCTCTGACCCAGAGAACCCACTTCTAGGCATAACTTTCCAAGGGGGTTAAAGACAAAAAGACAGTCCTATAAAACCAAACTTCCATAGCACTACTTTTTGTGGTTCTAAAGAACAGGAGGAAAAATAGTTGCTATGCTCATCAAATGGAGAATTGTTAAACAGAGATAGTATTGTAGCATAAGAAACAATGAATATAAATAATTCAAAGAAGCAAAGGAGGAATTAAATGAACTGATGCAGAGTAAAGTAAAAAGAATCAGGAAAACAAAACATACAATGACTAATGATATAAATGGAAAGAACAACAAAAAGATTAAACTGAATGTTACATAATTATATTAACATCAAGCTTGACTTCAAAAAAGAAGTATGGGAATGTACCTTCCTCTCTTTTCAGGGGTGGGGGTTTATGGGTATGAAAAACTGCATATATTATAAAACTTAGTTGAGATGTTGCTTAGCTATTCTGAACTATTTCTCCCCCCATCCTCTTTTTTAATTGTTTGTTATAAAAGATGGCTCATAAGGGAGCTGGGGGGAAAAGAAGAGCTGTAACTGGAAATGAGGGTGATATAAAAACAAAATATTTCAGTAAAAATTTTAATGAAAAGCTAGAAAAAGATAATTGAGACAGTTATATACAGATATATAAAAAGGGTATAATATTTCTATACACACATATATATGTGCACTTGTACCTATGTTTCCCTGTGTGGTTAAAATATGGTGTAAAAAGTTAAGTTGGGGCAGCTAGGTGGCGCAGTGGATACAGCTCAGGCCTTGGAGTCAGGAGGCCCTGAATTCAAATCCGGCCTCAGACACTTGACTCTGGGCAAGTCACTTAACCCTGACTGCCTCACCAAAAAAAAAAAAAAAAAAAAAAGTTAGGTTGAAAAACTTAAACTAATTCTAATTTAATTTACCTTTTCCTCCTTCTAGTAATTTCTTAACAGAAAGACTCATAAGTGGCTCAGCCTGCAAAGAAGACAGTTTGGAGCTTCGAGTGTTCATTTTACTATGAAGCAAAGTCTGAAGTATCAGGCAGTCTTCCAGTTGCTTCAAGAGAAGTTTCCAGTATTCAGTATCAAGGGAAAGAGCCTCCCAGGAATCAGTGAGTCCCTCTGGGTCAGTACCTAGAACTGTTTGGGAAAACTAACAGAAAAGGGACTGGTTATAATCTGGTAAACAATAATCATCTATACCATGAAAAAATTTCATTTGAAAACTGCCTGATAATACTAGCACCATAGAAATTATATGCAAATTATATGGAAACACTTCAATTTTCCACACCATGGTACGATCTTTAGGGAATTGTCCCCAAAGGCATACAATTTGACCCCTAATCCCCCAACTTTATCAACTATTCCTTTGTAGTTTCAATTTCATGTTAATTGGATCAGTCTCTTCCCTATTAGGTTATATAATTGTGCAGCTGCAGAAAATGCCTACCTAAGAAATACATTTTTCAAAACTGCTATGATTGCAGAAATAGTGTGCAACATTTAGGTTACCTAAGAAAATAAACTCAGGTAGAATTATATTCTCTGAATCACAAACCTAACAGAATCTTTCACAAAACCATCCTTTTTTATTAACTGACCTCAGAACAATTCTTGTTAGAGGCATGTGAGAGGGAAAAGAACACATTTCTCATTAAGTTTATTTTACTTTGTGTTCCATTAAAAAAAAAGGCACCATTAAACTGAAGAGGTGGGATTGAGAGGGCAGGTTGGAAGCTTACAGAAAGAGTGGAACAAAAGCAAATAGAGTTTAGACATCTGAAATGAGACTTAATTTAATGCCACCAATTCAACCAAGCTATACTTAAAGAAGTGTTTCAGTTTATGAAAAGCTAGTCTGAGTGGCTATGCTTATTTCTCAACAAATTTTGGCAGCTGAAGTAGTTTTAACACACTGATTATATTTGGAAAATATGTGTTACATGTCTTACTTATTAACATGAAATTTTGTATAAAATTAACAAGGTTTAAAGTTAATACCTGCAAACCCATTTTAGCTACTTTTTACCACTTGTTTTATTGACTGTAAATGAGAGGACTGGACTACAACAATTCATGACTTAAAAAATTTGGTATTCCTTAACTGAATTTGTAACCACTAAGATCTAAGATAGTTCACAACTTTGTTTACAGGAAACAACATTTCTGAGTTCTCTAGGTGTGACAGGAAGTAGACCCCACAATGATAACCCAATGGGTAACTCATTTGTGGAGCTCAGTCATATATAAAATAATATTTGTAGAGATATGGGAGGAACCTTTGAGAACTTTCATACCCTCATCTGAGAATCAGAAAGTGAAGCCCTTTGAAGTTAAGTGATTGGCCCAAAGGGGAAAATTTGTAGGACTAGAACCAAGGTCTCCTGACTCCTAGGTCAGTGCTATTACTCATTTGAAAGTATGTATGAATGTCATCTAATGAATGGTATTGAGGTCATCATATCTCATAATAAAAAATTTGCAGAATTTCAATCAATAACACCAGATATACATTTCAAATTCTAAAGCTTCTCCCATCGGCAAGTCACAAGATAACATAAATGTCCTTTTAGAAAAAGATATTAACAGATTTACAGAGCATCTTTGCTGACTTACTTTTTTCTCAGCTATATTATCGGATATCTGTGCTGCAACAGAATGCCCAACATGCGCAGATAACAAGGCAGCTGCATTATTCTCAGACTGAATACAAGCCATACGCATTTGTTGCCACCAAGGGGATACAGACTGTGAGTCCCATGATTCATCTATAGCAACTGCAAAGAAGGGGAAAAAAATTCCATTTGTCTGCTGTAGTTCAACTGTGTTAAGCACCAGCTCTGAAAACTAAATTCATAAGGACATATCTTTATGATAAGTTAGAAGGTGAGTAATTTAAACACAAAGACTTAGATTTCAGTTAGGTAGGTTCAATCAATGATCCTGTCCTTGAAGCCAAGTGTCAATGGAGCACATCCCAAACAGGTCACTACTTCTAAATCTGTTACTACAGTAATATCCTAGGGTAAGACTGTAGTTCTGGTCACTCTTACATATAAAAGGAGAAAAGTTGGAGCTGAACTTTTCTTGACATTGACTCATTTTCTATATAAATGTCTTTCGTTGTTTTATACTTCTCAAAATAAATTTTAACCTCCATTGATAAGTACATATAATTTTATAAACAAGAATATAGGAAAAAAGAACAAAAAAGTCTAGAAACTCTTATTGATTACCTGTTTCTTTGAGCCCTTTTCAACATCTTTTCTATGTATTTAACATAAATGTCACTGTTTCTGTTATCTTTAGACAGTTGCAGTTCCTTTAGTATTGCTTTCATTTGGCTTTACTTCCTAAGTCTTCTCATATTTCTTTTAATTTTTAGTGTTCATAATTTCTTTGATCAGAATAACATTCCATAACTTTAATATGCCATTATTTTTTCAGCAACTCCCAATTGCTGGACACCTAGTTTATTTCCAGGATGTTGCCATTACAAATAATGATAATAGTTCTGCAGCTAGATCTTTTTTTCCTATTAAAAACTTTCTTACGAGGCAGCTAGGTGGTGCGGTGGATCAGAGTACTGGGCAGTTTAAATCTGACCTCAGACACTAGCTGTGTGACCCTGGGCAAGTCACTTAACCTTGTTTGCCTCCATTTCCTTCGCTGTAAAATGAACTAGAGAAGGAAACGGCAACCCACTCCAGTACCTTTGGGGCAGCTAGGTGGCTCAGTGGATAGAGCTCTGGCCTTGAAGTCAAGAGGACCTGAGTTCAAATCTGGCCTCAGACACTTGACACTTATTAGCTGTGTGACCCTGGACAAGTCACTTAACCACACTGCCTCACCAAAAAACAAAACACAAAAAAAACTTTCTCAGGGTACCCTTAGTAGCGAAGCCACTGAGTACGAACATATTTTGTAACTTGCTACATAATTTCATATTGCTTTCCAAAAAATACTGAATCACTTCATACCTCCATTAGCAATAAATGAGCATGTCAATTTTACCCCGGGTATGCCAGTATAGAATTGTACCACTTTTCATTATCTTTACAAATTTCAGTCATACTGCTCTTGATGAATAATATCACATACAAAAATAGGATATATATTATTGCACTTTACAAAATGTTTCCTAAAAAAAGTTAAGTTCCACTTTATAAATTAAATTATATTTTAAAGAATCCTAAATAATTAGCAAAATAAAGAGCTATGCTGTTAGTATCTTCCAAACTTGCTAATATTAATTTAACACTGAATTCACACATTTCAGTAATTCTGCAGATACTGATGTAGTTCAAGTACAACAAATTAGAGACGAGCAACTGGGAAAACAACAAGCACATATATATAAAGGCATTTTTCTCGTTTTTTGTTTTTTTTTAAAGGAATATTCTTGAGAATCATTAACTTATATGTATCTTTAAAGCAACTTACCTTTCATCTTACTCAGAAGAGAAAGCATAGTGTGAAGACAGGAAACAGACTGTGGCTTATCAAGAATATCTTTTTCTTTAGAGAGCCAAACATTCAGGAGTAGAGACTATAATTAAAAATTTTAAAAAGTCATTCAATTCTAAAGCAAGCTGATTTCAAAACAATCTTATATTTGTTAGACATACTATAAACATCTTTGGGGAAATCGTGAATTTTTTTGAATATATTATATGTCCCAGCCCTTTTTGGCATGTAATAGTGGCTCCCTATATTGTGTGAGGTATGAGGCTTTACTATGCTCCTAAAAAAGTCTTTCTTTTTTTTTTTCTTTTTTATTTTTTTGGTTAGGCAATGGGGTTAAGTGACTTGCCCAGGGTCACAGAGCTAGTAAGTGTTATGTGTGAGACCAGTTTTGAACTCAGGACCTCCTGACTGCAATGCTGGAGCTCTATACACTGAGCCACCTAGCTGCCCCCCTTTTTTTTCCTTTGACATCAGACATCATTAAAATCACTCCTCTGGATTAAAGCATTGCTTCCAAATACCCATATTAAAATACAGATTATGTGTGAGAGGTATGACATTAACATAGCTTAAGTAGCTTAGCAGAGAAAGGGAATGAAAGAAGGCCATACTGAGATGGTTTTGATGGGGAAAAGAAGAAAAGAGTCTTTAAAGACTAGAGAATAGGTCACTATCTAGATTAATGTTACTACCCTTCCTGGCATGAGGACCCTTAGTGCTTATAGAGAGGAAGGGCCAAAAAAGGAATGAGGGAGGGGTTACTGAAGTTTATTTACATATATCCCAATTCTGCCTAAGGTCAGGCCTAAGAGGAAACAGACTATCTTAACACTTTTCCACTTCTCCTAATGCTCTTATCACTATTAAATCACAAAAAGATCTTTTGAGCAAAAACACTGTATCAACATTTATGTGATTCTATGGAAGACATCAATCCCACAATTTTAAACTTGGCCCATCCTGAGCCAATAACATCTATGATTTATGAAATGTGTTCAGAGTGTGACTTGGAGTTTATAAACAGCTTAGTAGCATAGGATTATATGGATGCACTTGGGGATTAGGTGCAGTGAAAAATGTTCATCATTCACTGCAATGCTGTAGTGAACTATTGCTCAAAGTTGTAAAGTAAAAGGTGATTAAGAATAGGGATTAGAAAGTTTAAATATAACACTTCAACTTTAAAAAGTTTTCAAAAATTAATAAACCTCAAAATTTCACTTAGAACCATTTATAAATTCCATTCTCTTTTTCCAACCATTCTCATAATCTATGTTGCTATTTTAATTTTTACATTCTCATTATAATTAGGCTAAAAAAAAAAACCCTCCAACACACATAACAGATATTCCAGTTTCAACTACAAACTTTTTTGTAACAATCAAATTGCAAGGAAATAGAAAAGTAGACTGTATTCTTCCTTCTGGACATCACACTAAGTTTCTATTAGATACATTTAGATATCTTTTAATTTCAGGACATATAAACCAATGTTTATTTTTCTGGGACAGTACCAGTGAGGGAATTGAGTGAACCACACTGACTTCAGCTTGTGATTCAATTTAGAAGCTAGTTCAGTTTCCTTTCTGTTCAATTATGGGTCCAGTCCAATTTGAGAAAATTTTATTCAGTTGTTTGAACCTAGTCCTGCATAGCTGGAAAGATGAACCACCTCTGTTGCTAAAAGACCCTAAACTAAGGATCTAGGTTATGCTGACCAGAAATCCAGTCAGATCCAAAGACTAATACAAGGAGTTTTCTCACAATTATGTATCTCAAGCAACTCATATGTCTTATCTGAAAACTAGCCCCATATTGATCAGTTACTGTTTCCTTTTTCCTCTGATTGGATACAGACACTTGGGGGGAGTAGGACTCCTTTTTTTCTGATTTCAGGAAATTGCACCTGTTCACTCTCTCCCTCCCAAATTTGAAACCCTCTAATCTTTCCTTCAGTTAAAAATCAGATCACCTAATATTGTATATTGGTTTATAGCCTGTTAATTGTTTTCTTTTAACACATAAAAATAAAAATCTATACCCCCTGAGAAAGCCTGGTCCTGATGCGTTATGCAATAGGCATGCATTGCTTAATAAATCGAGATGCTTGGAGGCTCGAACTTTTGTTTCCTTGGTTATTTCGGATTTCACCTGTCACACCAGGTATCCAAACATAATTGGTTTTGGTACCAGGTAGGATTTCTCACAATAGGGGTTACGAAGATCACTAATACCAATGTATTTAAATTTATACACAATAGAGTTTTGCTTTTTATCCGTGTTGCTTTTGTGGTTTATTTTGGCATTAGGAAATTTAACATATGAGGGATATGAGTTATTTTATCATTACAGGTGGGCTACAGAATAATTACCAAAATGAAATATGTCTTCTGCCTCTTAAAAAGGTCAAGTAGAACATATATTGCAAATGCAATTATTGAATTTTATATTACATTACTAAAATTTTTCTCAGTAACTTAAATTCTATTATAATTAAATTGCATATTTAGGAAAAGTAAAACATTTTAGAAGGACTAAAAGTCTGATAAAAAATGAGAATCCCATACTAAGCAGCCAACGAGCTAACAATGCTATAATGTTTTCCCAAAAGAAAAACAAAACATGAAAACAAACCATAACAGACTCTGCTACATCTCTACTATAAATATCCGTCTAAAAAACACAGATTTTTATGTTTCATGTTATAATTTTACACAGATTGTTTTTTTTTCCCTCCTTGTTATCTGTTATAAATTGACTGATCTATAAAATAAACAAAGTTTGGGGATGCTTAATAAGCAGTGCTGCAAAGTACAGTACTAAAGGGATAGTTATGTTGTATAAATTAGATCACTATTTGTTATTTAAAAAACAAGATACTCTAAATTTTACATTTATCTTAAGTACTCTTAGAAACATAGAATTTATCATTGATTTTAAATTAAAGGCTTTATAAGAATCAATTTAATAGTTTATCTTTATTCTGACATTGTTCATTGGTACAAATTACTCCATGAAAGTTTGTTATTTGTATGCTTATCAAATTCCAAGTTTATTTTACATTTGCTGAAGCTTATGAGAAAACTTACATAGAACAGGGAAAAACAAACAACTTTATGATTAACTAAATCTGGCAATTCATAAATTACTTGAATTATCTGGAAGGTTTTCATCTACTTTCTATGATATTTCTATAAGGACAGCCATTTACCATAAGCAAATGCTGAAAGCCTGAAGGTTCTCCTAAAATTATATTACCTATGAAGAAAAAGTATACAATTAGTACTTTACCAATAAAAGTTGTGGGCTAAATCCAGCAGATTCCAAAGTATGACACATATCCTCTGTGGAGCTTTCTCCATGCAAGCACTTCCAAAAAAAGAAACTACCTAGTAAAATAAAAATGCAAACCTATTAAACTATAGCAACCTCTAACTCAAATCTATAATATTCTCAATTAGAATCAATTTTGATAAAAAAATTTTCTATATAAAAATAGTATCTATGAGGAAAATGAAGGTATAGTATATATAGCTCTAAACATGACCTTTTTGGAATTGCTAATACAAAAAATTTATTTGGAGCACTACTTAAAGCAACAACAATTTGGTATGCTTGAGCATTTTTGTCTGAGGTTAGGGACGGCATTGTCTTTACAAATCCACAGTGCTTAAGATATTGCCTTACAGAGACTAAGCACTCAATAAATATAGGTGACATAAAACACATTAAACACAACAATAAAAAAATGTCAGTACAGCAAAGTGGATAGAAAGAGGGCCACTGAAGTCAGAAGCACTTGGATTAAAGTCCTGCCTCAAACACATACTGGCTGGGTGGCCTAAATAATTTCACCCTTTCTTGGGTATCTCTACAAGGCAAAATTACAGAAGCATGGCAGATTGGATGAGTGAAGGAATCTTTGACCCCGAAAATACTCTACTCTGATAAAATAAAAAATCTGGCTCCACCTCAAGTCATAACAACCACTATGCTGACATTGCTTTCAAATTTTCAAAGTGTTTTATATACACCATCTCACATCAGTCTCATAACAACTTTGTAGGTAGGGATTACAGGTGTTTTTATCCCTACTTCACACAAGGAAACTAATGCTCTGAGTGTCTGAGGGATTCACCAAGGACTTCTGACCAATGAGAGTTTTGTGAGTTTCATACCATAAATTTCAGATGGCGTGGAAAGGACAAGAAAAAATCTAGTGCATTACATACCTAAAGCCACATATTCTATTTCACTTATCTTCTTTACACTGATCGTATCTTTCTCATATTCTAAATATTCCAGGAATGTTGTCACAGGCAGTGCACCATCTTTATCATCAGCAAATCGGACAGTGGTTCTGGTATTCTCTTGTTTATAGTTCTCCAATAATGCCTGCAGCCTAACCAGTTCTTTTTCATCAAGCCTTAACAACACTGCCAGCTCCTAAAAGACAAAAGATATAAAATCATAAATCTTCCACATTGTGTCTAAAAATATGCCTCACCTATCAAGCCCCTGTAAATAGGATTGAAAGACTTTTCTATTAGAGGCAAAAAAATGGGCTTATGACTATAACAACACTAATGTGTAGTCTACTACTGATTTTGCTCCAAATTTACTACATTTCATGGAGATATCATGTGATAACAATGCAACAATCATAGAATAAAGAACATAACTATTTTTATTAAACTTTTAAAATAACATCAATGAAAAATTCTATAATCCTCAGTACTAGATACAGAAGTATGACTGAAAATGGAACATTTTAATTGTTATGCAGTATAATATATAAAACAATAGTCTGGTCTAATTTCACTCTGTTCAGAAAGAAAATAAGATAACAGAAAGAACCACAAATATTTAAAGAGGTCACAGGTACTGCACAAATCTTGGAACCAAATCCTTTACATGTATAGAATTAAGAGGATCCCTTAATAATAACAGAAATAGATTTGGAAGGTATCTTAAAGGTCATTCTGTTCAAATTCTGTCTAAAACATTCATCTTCTCAATAATATCTCCTACAAGTTATCAGTCAATATCTGCTGGACTATCTTTAATGTAAAGGAAATCATTATCTCCTAAGACTGCCCATTTTATTCTGGGATAGTTTTCTAATTGTTAGGAAGAAATTCTTCCTTATATTAAGCTAAAATTTGCTTTATTGGCAACTTTTACTCATTGGGCCAAGTTCTGCCCACTGGTTATAGAGAATAAACTTGTTTTTTCTTCTGCATGACAGTGATTTAAACATTTGAAGACAACTAACATCCCCTTAAGTCTTCTCTGGGTTAAAATTTACCAGTTCTTTAAAGCATTGTGGTTATTAAGTGGTTTTCAGTCCTTTTGCTATTCAAGTCTTTCCCAAATTAGAGAAATATGTTTTCATAAGGAAGAGACCTCTGCTGAAGTCTTACTCTGATGGCTAATCATGATAAAGAAATGACTGAATTTTGAAAAGTTATGCCAGCAGAATGTAAACTGGCAGGTCCTACCAGACTGAAAAAGTTTTAATATGGACTCAGTGAGAAATGATGAATCTGCTGAACAAGGACCAGATAAGGTAAATTTGGAAAAGATGATCATCAAGCTAGCAATGGGATAATGAATTTTTTGGCCACAGCAACTCTCAAAGACAGATTAACCAGCCATAAAGGGGTAGCAATTAGCATGGGCTGAAGAGAGTAACCACACTGACAAACTACTGGACCTCTGAAGAAGTAGGAAAATGAATTTATTAAGGTCTGTGAAGTCATCAATCCTTTAATATTTTGCATTAAAACAATTAATACACATCCATGTTATGAAAGTCAATCCTGGTTTTGAAGTATATCTCTTTTCTTAAAAGGAAAAGATTGACTTATTGAACAAGAGAAACTCGCTTTCAAAAGTAAGAGTAACAAGCCATCTACTAAATCACTTATCTTTTATCTTTGGTATTATTGGTGACTTGTTTTGCTCATTACTTGAGCACTGCAGTGTTCTTATTGATACACAGTGCCTATCATTGGAAATTACAAGGCCATTTCTTCATTGTCTTGAATTTTGTACTGATATTAGCAATGGTGAATAATATTCCAAGGAAAAGGATCACTATGTCTCAATGATCTCTACATTATTACCTAGAAATTTCATAGATGCTTTAATATCTATCCTCTCATAAAATAGAAAACTAATTTCCTTAAAAATTCCTACTACCTACTAATTACTTATTATAGAATTTGACTTTGCAAGTTCTATTTATAAGAATGTGTAGAAGGTCAGTGTATAAATGCAGTGCATAAATATAGTAAGCAGGGTAAAAAATGTTCTTTTTGAAACTAATTGTATTTTCATGATACCTCTTTGGACAGGTTGATAAAATGTACAGTTTTCACAAAGGAATCTGGGCCAGACAAAGTTGAGAGTTACTACTCTCTATTTCATTTTAACGAAAACTAAATTTGTTTTTAAGTCTATGGAAAGGAAAAAAAATGAGACTGTTAAAATTAGTCCAGTGCCTGGCACAAAGTAAATGTGCCCCAATGCTTTTTTGATTGATTGATTAAAAAAACCAAGTAAAATATCAGGTTACAGCAAATACTATAAGGTATTTTCCATTGAATATGCATTAGGGAAGTTAAGAGGTGGATTTCATAATTATTTTTACTAACCTCTTTAATTACTCAAAGTCAGGTTTTTCAAGTTGTACCAATATGGTGATGTTAACCTATTTTATGGAAGAAACCTCTTAGAGGAAGTTGGATTTTAACCAGTTACCTTATTAACTGAATTCAGGTAAGATAAAAGGTTCACTGAGGAGGAAAAATAGATTAATAATAAAATTTAATTTATTGGATAAAATGAAAACAATGTCTAGGATAAAAACGTTATACCCAAAGCAGTCACATAAGAATTCAATTAGGATAACTTTATGCTCTTCTTTTAAAACAAAATAAAGTAGTCACTGTTTCTACTTTTACCACTTTCAAAAGACACAGGATTGGCCCCTACATTGTCTTAGCATCTATAAATTAAATCTTCCTACATAGCTACATTTTGGGATTACTCACATTATTGGAGAATGATGTATCTGAACACAACCCAAGAGAATTCAGTTTATTGACTGACTCATAAAGATGGAGTAATTTAAGCTTGTTGTCACAAAACTGGAGTAGTCCTTCATCAACACATTCAAGCTCTAAAGCATTGGAGAGAAAATCAAATTAAACAGCTTGTTAAAAAAAAACTTGTTAAAATTTTCATGCCAATTAAATCTTTTAATATTGCATTCCACAATTCTTTGATGTACTGTAGTTTATAATTTTCCTTAAGTGATGATCTGAGTGTATAACTCCCCAACGGAATCAACTGCAGTGGCTTACTGACTTCAGAATAAAACATAAATTCCTCTATTTAGCATTTTGAAACCCCTTAATAACCTGTCCCCACCCCTATATTTCCAGGCTTACCAGATATCATTCTACTTTCTACTTAGTCCTACAGTCAAAATGGCCACCCTTTTCTTCACACATGACACACCATGTTGTGTCTCCATGTCTTTGCACCGGCAATTTCATATGCCTAGAATTCACTCTTTACTAAACTCTGCCTCATAGGAATTCCTCTTTTCCTTTAAGACACAGCTTAGGGACTATCTTCTACATGAAGCTTATCATAATCCCTCTAACTGCGAGTGCCTTCTCTCCAAAACTACCTTGTATTTAATAAATTTGCATTTTGGAATCTGGGTTTGTTTCATTCTTTGTACTTGTATCCTAAGAGTGCCTAGAACATAGTAGGGACTTAATAAATATTTGCTGATTGATTGATTATATTACGGTGTTTTATCCATGGTAGAAAAAAAAAGATTTTCTCAGCCCAAGTATCCTACTTACTTAAGTTGAAAAGGATTTCTACTAGGAGGATAGACAGAAAAAAGTGAAGAAAATCATTATCTTAATAATAGGTTTTTTAAAATGTTATTGCGTGATTTAAATATTAAGAAAGATTTGAAAAATTATGTACGTTTTTTAAAAATCAGCTTATTGGCCCCAAACAAGAACACTATCTTCTGTCTCTAGTCCCTGACATACTCATTGAGAGTTAATCAATTTCTCCTACCTCCTTCTATTATTGTGATTGTCAGTTAGAACCATGAATTATTTTAAAATGCATTCAGCAGAAGACAAGATGACCAGACTTTTCTTTTTAATTAAATAACAAATTATCTCTAGCATCTTTCAACCAACTCTTTTGTCTTAAACATAATACTGAAGAAAAAATGTTTTTAACTTGTTCATTCTTTCAAAAAATACAACAAACAACAAAAAAACTAAAAAGATTCTAATTCTAAGTGATCACAGTTTCAGGCATAATAAATTTCAACTTTTTGTATCTCTGAAATAGATTTATGGTTCTCATTCAAGAGTTCAGTTAGAAGACTTATCTAGTCTTTCAACAATGATCATTCTGTCTCATGACAATATAAGATATAGCAATATAAAACCTTTATGGAGCACAAATATAATTGTAGGGATACCTTATTTTAAACAATAATGAATTCCTTAAAAGTTAATGCAAATAAAATGTTTATAAAGTAAAGGACAATTTAAATTTACTAGAGAAATCCATTCCACAAGTTAGTTTTAGATATTAATTCAGGACAGGAAATAATTAAGAGTAGTTCAAGATAAAAGTAATTTGATGGAGAATATCTTAACCCACTATTTATGGTACCTTTAAAAATTATACTTTAAGCTATGGAATTTATATGCAATTAAATCAAAGAAAAAAAAAACAAAGCCTAGACGAAACCATTAAGGCATTACTAGTTATAAAGGCAAAGTTATACCAAGGACAATTTTTTTATATAATATTTACTTCATGTTAAGGGCTTATACGGGCTCTTTGTAACTTAGCTAGAGTATAGTGCCAACAATTGTACAGTCACATTTTCTGCCCTTGTACAGGTTAGTTAGCTTTATACAGAAAACAAAAATCCATTGAATTACTCCAAAATTAACATGCATAGAAAAACTATAGGAAAATTACCACAATGAAAATTACGTGAAAGTGGATGATTTAGCACAAACTACTACTATTACTAGAAAAGTAACTCAAAGTTTATGTAAATGTGGATAGTAGGTTATGAGCATCATCTTCCCATTCAAAGTCCACACATTTATATCCAAAGTACTTACCCCTCTACATAATTCTATCTCTTATTCCACGAAATAAAACTAAATTAGGGAAACAATATGGAGACTAATAGCTTTCTACAAATGACCAACTAATCTTTCCCTCATGCTAAAAGCATATAGCTTCCTATAAGCTTATATATTATTGTGCATTATACATAATTGGTGAATGTAGCTTACATTTCAATTAGAAGGTAAACTCTATGGAGGAAAGATATAAGTTTACATGCCTTATCTATACTTTTTGGGTCCCCTTCCCTGAGTGCCTAGAATAGTACTCTACACAGAACAGGCACTTAATAAATGTTTATTATTAAATGCAAATAGATTTCATTTTTTCTACCAAATTATAGAAATATGTATCAAATTAAAATTTTCCCAATTATATCAATTAGGAAATAATTTACAATTACTCACAGAAAGCCAAGATGATGATAAACTATATAAAAATAAAACAGTATAATAATTTTTAATAACTGACACATTTTATTATGTTTAATAATTTTCTCATTAAAAGAACATTTTATATCATAATCATTAAGGTAAGCATTTAATATCTTTCTACAATTAAAAGCATATAATTGTATTTTAAATGTCTATCTCTTTAGAAATTTGATTGTAACTGTGACATGATCATAACCTTTAATTAACATGAACTATCATTTTACCTTGATTTGTTAAAGTATCCAACAAAGTCTGAGTGATGTTTCTAAGGCAGGAAAATGGTAAACGTTCACTTGCTAAAATGCTTTCCAAAGCCTAGGCAAAGGAAGAAATTCCACAATTGAAAGACAGGAAGTCAGAAAATCCATTATTTTCATTTCATTACATTTAGGTATACACTGTCAGAATACTGAGACTTGAAGGTAAAACTAACTTATATAAAATATTTCATATGAATATCAGTAGTTTAATAAATATCACAGATTAATTCATTAAAATGCTGATGTTCATATGAAACATTGTACAAGTAAATCATGCATCATGATATATTAAAATACAAGCACAAATCTGAAGGTCAGACAACTAAAGAAAGGTTGAGGTGAAGAACAAAAAAAAACAAAGAGAAGAGCTAGCATGGAAGAAAGAGAAGAAAATATTTAACTAATAAGAAGAGGTTCAGTAAATCCTATACCGCTAATGCAATAAAGGGAAATAAGAAACAATAGTTACTATCATGACAGTAAGAAAAGTATTGCCACAAGTTTACATTTAAATTTTGATTGCAATACTCTTACATGACTGACTAGTCAAGTCAACAAACATTTATTAAGCCTTAAACCTAATTCACTCTAGGCTCTCATTGACTGGCCAACCCAAGCACCACCTAGTGGATACTGTTTGGGCCCAGTGGCTCAGATGTAAATGTAAATATGTAAATAGCAATGGTTTGTCTTTTGGCCAGCAGCCCAGTCTTCTCCTCCCAGGTTGATTTTTTTTTTTCAATTAAAGGGGCCATTCCTTGCTTCACTTGTTAAACAGCCTTAATCAGTGAATGGGGATTGTTTTAGTCAAAGTGAGAACTTGGAAGGACCTTAGCTTAAAAAGGCCAAGGTCTCCCACTTCACCCTGGGCCATCTCCAGCTGTCCTGATCTGTATCTTGCCACCGGACTCAGATGGATCCAGAGAAGAAAGTGAGGCTAGTGACTTTGCAAAGCTCTCCCTCACTTAAATTCAACTGACAAGTCATGGCATCATCTTCCTGATGTCATGGTCCTCTTCAAGAACAAAGGACAAACCACAACAACTATTTGCCAGGAACTATGGTAAGGTCCGGGGATACAAAGAAAAGCAAACAAACAAATAAAAAAACAAAAACAAAAAACCCAGTCCCTGTCTTGAAGGAGGTTACATTCTAAAAGGGGAGATACATAAACAAGTAGGTAGATGCAAGATATATACAGAATAGATAGAAGGTACTTTTGGAGGGGAAAGCATTAGCTGCTAAAGGGATCAAGAAAAGCATCTTACAGAGGTGAGATATGGGCTGAGTTTTGGAGATGTCAGTGAACATTCTAGGAGTAGAGTACAGCTAATGCTAAGATATGGAGAAAGGAGATGGAATGTCTTGTTTATGGAACTGCAATAGTAGGCCAGCTGCTAGAATGGAGAGTGAATGGAAAAGAACAAGGTCTAAGAAGCCTAGAAAGATAGAAAGGGGCCAGGTTATGAAGAGCATAAATGCCAAAGAAGTTTTTGACCCCTGGCTGTAACAGTGAGCCAATCAACTCACCAAGCAGGAGGGTAACATGGTTAGACCTATGCTTCAGAAAAATCACCTTTGTAGCTTAATGGAGTTTGGACTGAAATGGGGAGAGACTTTTGTCATGGACACAGGTTAGAACTGGTTAGATTCATAGGCCACAATAAGTAGGAACAGTGAGGAGCAAGGAGGGAAAGAAATAAACATTTATTAAGCACCTATTATGTGCGAAGCACTATGCTAAGTGGTTTACAAACATTTCATTTTAACTTAACAACTCTGTGAAATAGGTGCTTTTCTTAACCCCATTTTGCAGTAGAGGTAATTGAGGCAGGCAGAGGTTAAGTGACTTGGCCAGGGTTATAAAGCTATTATCCAAGGCCAGCTTTAAACTCAGATCTGCCTGACTCCAGGCCCAATGCTCCATCTACTGTACTGCCTTGCTACCTGGGTAAGAGTAATTTTTCCAAAATGTCCACTATTAGCATCACCAAAGAGATATAATGCAAAAGTTAAGGTGTATGTTTGTTTGTTCCCTCCCCCATTAGCAGCACATCAACTTGAGTAAATCTGATAGATTAACCTGTTAAGACTGAAAAGATGAGAAACAATGCAGATTGCAGGGAGAAACGAAGCTGAACAACAAGCTTTAGATACATGAAGAAGCAAATGGCAAAAACAAGACAAGCTGTGGCACAGAGAAATATGCAGAGTATGAGGATACAGAAAAGGGAGACGATTTTTTATCACAGACGTTGTGTGCATATTTACCTGTTTTTTGGTTGCAGGATACTTAATATCAAGAATTAATTCCTTTACTTCAGTTTCAACTAAATCTGAAAAATCAAATAAATTTTAAATTATGATAATTTTGCAAAAGTTCATATTACATTTCAGCTATTCTATGAGTTGCAAGATTATCTACTATTCTTTTAATTTTATAATAAACTCCTAATGTGCAAATATAGGCCAATTCAACTTTACAGATAAATTCTAAGATGCATGCATAAATTATTAAGGATTTGGAGTGTACTTATTAGGCTCTACTGCTGATTTTTAAATGATCCAAACTATTCAAAAATGTGGTTTTTTATTTGAGGACACTTACTAAGATTTGGAGTTTTCATTTTCAGTAAAGTTGCTAGTTTCTTCACTAAGTGAAGATCCTTGGCTCGTTCACTCTTCTTATCACTTAAAACAGTAAATAAATACTTATTTTAAAATGGAGAAGAATGAAGTTTGCTACATATTTCCAAAAGGTTTAACGTTTCTTTTTCTTTCATTTTTTTTACTTTTTGTATGCCATTATTAAAGATATTAATTAAATCTGAAAAAAAAATAGCTCTTTGTTGGCTAAGAGAAAAGAGTTTTCAGGGGCATATTCATTAGAAGAGAGATAATAAACCTTACCTCAGTGCTAAATGGAAAGGAACATTAACTGTTTTTATGCTTCCAGACACTGGATCAACAAGACAAATCTGGTAAGTCTGTGGCTGCCAACTCTGACTGGTAACATTATTTAAGCCCATTATTTTATAACCAGGATACAGTAACCTACAGAAATCACGTACAAATATTGTAAATACAATGAAGAAAGAAAAAATTTCCAAAGGATACTTTTATTAGAGTTAAGGATGTCTGGGAAAATATTTACTTAGAAGCATTAAACAACTCTACAGTTATTGATTAATATTAGAAAAAGTGAGCCATCAGGATTTAACTGACAGCGACTTGATTTTCATTAAAAAATTAGCTAAAAAAGAAAATACGCACAATTCAATTAGAACTGAACATGCAATTGTTTATGGTAAAGAGACAATTTTCCCTGCATATCTTTCAAGACAATAGGAAGAACGTATGGTATTAAGAATAGATTTTGGAGGCAGCTAGGTGGCACAGTGGATAAGAACACTGGCCCTGAAGTCAGGAGGACCTGAGTTCAAATTTGGCCTCAGACCAAACACTTGACACTTAGTAGCTGTGTGACTCTGGGCAAGTCACTTAATCCCAATTGCCTTAAAAAAAAAAAAAAGAATAGATTTTGACACATAAGAGCCATGTGACTTTGGCTCACTTGTCTGGGTTTCATGTTTCTCAAACATAAGATGAAGCAGTGAGTCAGTAAACACTATGTATGCACTTAACTGTGACAAGCACTGTACTAAATGCTGGGGTCACAAAGAAAAGAAAGAGAAGGTTCCTTGCCTCAAGGAGCTTATGATCAGACAGGGGAAGACAACACATAAAAGAAAGCTAGTAAGGGGAGGGGCAGAGAGTACCCGGCACAGGGGCATGATGGAGTCCAGTGTATGGAGGGCAGATGGTGAGAAATGAAGAGATGACTGGTCTGTGTGAGCACTCTTTAAAGGAATGCTTTGAGAGGAATTGGCCTAGACTATCTCTTCCAAAGTCTTTGAGATTACAAAGCTTAGGGGATTGAGGCAGGGAGAAAATGATGCCCGGAAGTTTTTGTGGCCTACTAGCTCAGAGTCAACATCACAATATGGCAGCCAAGAGAATTAACATCAGAGATGATACAATAAGAGAGAGGCAACAGCATCCAATAATAAAGAAATGACAGTCCTGCAGTAGTTTGCCTGGTCAGACCACATCTGAAGTATGCTGTTCAGTTCTGGGTGACACACTTTAGGAAAAACAGGAGGGCACCCTGAAGTCCACAACTCTATGCCGCATGAGAAAAGATTTGAGAATACAGAGATTGTTTATCCTAGAGAAGTTGAGAAAGCTTTGGGAGGTAGGAGTGGGGTAGACAGAGAAAAGGGGGAGAGGAGAAACAAGTATTTGAGGATCCATCATACAGAAGAGGGTTTAGATTTGATCTGTCTTACCCAGAAATAGGTAAAAGTTGCAAAAAGCAAATTCGGGCTTGATGTAAGGAAGAATTTCCTACCATGCTATGTAATAGCAGAGTGAATGTCTTTGCAGGTAATGGATTCCTAATGACTTGACAGCTTTAAGTAATGGCTAGAATGACCACTTATTAGATATGAAGCAGAAGGGATTCTTTTTCAGATATGAGTTGGACTGGCTTCTGAGGTCAGTCAGTCAACAAGCCTTTATTAAGTGCTTGCCATGTGCCTGGAACCATGCTAAGTGTGTGGAGATACAAAAAAGAAAAAAAAAAAAAAAGAAAGAAAAAAAGGCAAAAATAGTGTCTGCCCTCAAGGAGCTCACATTCTAATAGGGGAAACCTGAAAATAAATTGATATATACATTAGATGGACAGATAGAGAGATGAATAGAGCAAGCATTTAAGCTCTGGGTATATGCTAAGCATTGAGGTTACAAAAACAAGCAAGCAAGTCCTTGCCTTCAAGGAGCATACCTTGTAATGGGGCAAACACAGAAAAGGTGCTAGAAAAGGGAGGGGACAATTAGACAACACATGGCAGAGATGGTTAGGAAGAGGCTTAAAAACCTGGGCTCCCTGAAAGGTTAGAGAAATTTCACCATCAGACATAGGGGATCCAAAGGTAGAATCCTTAGGAAGAAGATAAGGAAGCATAGTATGGTTTTGTGTGGGGTGTGGGGTGTGTGTCTGTGTGTGTGTGTGTGTGTGTCTGTGTCAAATGGTAGCCTTCTCTACCGTGCAGTGGGGAAGGAGGGAGACAGTTTGAAATTTAAAATGTAACAAAAAATAAAATAAAACGAAAAGAAAAATTTTAAGGGGGAGAAAAAAGGAAAATGAGGATAATGGCAAAAGATTAGAAGGCATGATATGGAGATGGCCAGGAAACGGACAGAGACTTGGGCCCTGGCAAGACAAGGCAAAAGTTGCCCTTTTAAAGCTGGGTGACTCATGAGCCTTATCCAGGTTCTGGTAGGAAAGAGATGAGAATGATAGGCCAAAAGCAGAATGTACGATGTGAAGACAGCTAGAAAATCACCAACACAATAAAAGGAAGTTAGTAACCTTAGAGGGGGGAGGTTCGAGCAGCTGGGAAAACCAGGAAAGACCTGCTGAAGACAGGATTTGAGCAGAATCTTGAAGGAAGCCCAGAATTCTAAGGGGCAGAGATGAGGGGGAAGAGCATTTCAGGCCTGGGGTACAGCCAATACAAAGGCATGGAGAGAGGAGAGAGAATGTCATGGTTAAGGAACAGCAAATAGGGCAGTATGGCTAGATTATACTTTGTGTGTTGGGGTGTCAAGTATAAGAAGACTGGAAAAGTAGAAAAAGGTCAGACTGTGAAGAGCTTTAAATGACAAAAAAAAAAAAGGAAGGTAAAAGGCAACATCTGGAGTAGTGACGTGGTCAGACCTACATTTTAAGAAAATGTGAGGTTGTCTTCCAGCTCCGAAATTCAGTGATTCTGAAACATTCCTCCATTCCTCTTCAAGCTGAACTCCTGTCTCTGGTCTTTCTCTACCATGCCACAAAAACTTTACCCTGGAAAACAGTTGGCTCTTTCTCTTCCTAGAAGCTCTATATTGAAAAGGACGCCTCAGCCAGCTGCATCTCCACTCTACTCCAGGCTGCCCCTCTGACTTTAGGTCTTCCTACCATGCTACGGTGTGGGTCGTTCTCCACCCACCACCACCATACACACTTTTCAGTTTCTTTCATATGTTGTTTTCCTCATTAGAATGTAATCTCCTTGAGGGCCAAGACTATCTTTCTTTCTTCTTTTTTTTTTGGGGGGGGGGGGGGGGATGGGATTCACAGCGCTTAGCACAGTGCCTGGCACATAATCTGTTCTGGTTACTGGATTGGATGGATGATGCCTAACAATACTTCAATCCTTTGAGAATCTCATAGCATTTCAGATTATGAAACTGAAGGACAGAAGAAAGAAGAGACTAAGGGAAAGGAAATGAACTGGACCTGTGATTTCATTAGCACAGTGAGCTTCAGAATAAGGAAATGACCTCTACCAATGCAGTTGGCACTTTCTTTGCAACTTATAATTCATATGAGCTATATCCCTCTAGGCAAGTCACTGAAACTCTCACTACTTTAGATAACATAATAAATGAACTTAAATTTGAATCAGCCTTATGCAAACAGCCATGTTTATCTTCTTTGTTATTCTGTAATTAACCTGTCAAACAGTCACTGTTACTGAACACCCACAAAGTATAAAACAGTGTGACAGGGATTTGGGGATACCTATCAAAATAAGTGCTCAATATAAACCTTTTGTATTGAAAAGTTACTCCAGCAAGCCATGATGAAAGCAGCATGGCTGGAAATGACCATTCCGGTCATAACTCCTACAGAGGCTTTAATGGAATTCTAATCACTGACACAAAATAAATTGCCATTCACATAGGGGGAAAAAAGTAAGATTAGATCGCAGCAGTAATTTTTGGCCATGGTATTTTCCATGTGCCTCAGGCCAAAATGCCAGTGAGAACAACCAATCAATTTCCAAAGACTTACTGAGAACCCAGTATTAAAGAATTAACATCATCTCTTTATCTCAAGGAACCTGTAAGTACAGTTATTTCTTCCACAACGCAGGGGTTAAGGGCATGGCACCCCCACAATTTGGAAAATCCATGTAAAATTTTTGGCTCTCCCTTTGTACCAGAGAAGAAGTCTGAATTTTTTCTTTTTCTTTTATGGGGTGTTTACAGTACCTTATTGCAAAATTTGGGTTAAGTATTTAGTCATGGACTCTGTGTCTTCTGCTGGCCTTCATTTGTCATCTGAAGCTTCCTCAAAACTCAAAAAATTCCCATTTAATTTCTTATGCCAACCTGCTGTATATTGAAACCTCAATGGGGACAGCTGCAACATGGAAGGGATAACTGAACCTTTTTTCTTAATTTAAAATATTTCTTTTCAATCAGCAAAATAAGTTGTGTTACTCACCTACAATGTTTCCCCACATTAAAAGCTCCCACTCTGGGGCCCTGTTGAGTGCTCCACACTTCCAGAATCCCCCTCCTTGGAGCATAGATCACAAGAAATTGAGCCACTCTGCTTGGACCTTGTGTATTTCCAAAGGGAGAAAAATCCATCTTTTCTGAATCTCTTTCATGAAGGTCTTCTACAATTTGGATCCATCCAATTTGGGCATCCCGGTAGCCTTAGAAAAAGAGGAAGAGATGAAATAATTTTATCTAAACGTACTGGTTTCCATAATTTTAGTTAAAACATTCTCTCTATTAGATTCATGGAATTGTTATTTGTTAAGTATTTGATGATTTTATAAAAAGGACAAGAATAGAATGTTGAGATTCCTGCACTGCATGAAAGGCTGACTGAATGATCTTTCTAACTCTAAGATTTTATGATTCTGTGAATCCTTATAAGAATTTAACTCTTCTTTCTATATACATTAAGGCCCAGCTCAAATGCCACATCTTCCCTGTAACCTTGCCTAAGAGCCCACTCAGAAGTTATCTTTCTCTCCATTGGTCAATGGAAAAATTGAAATAAAAAAAAATTTATCAACCAGAAAAGCTAATGGTGTGTTAGCCACACTAAGAGAAGCTATGTGTCTCTAACAGTCCTGTTGTATTTGACCTTGGTAGGACCACATCTGGAGCTCTGCATTTAGTTTTGGGTGGCACCTTTTAGAAGTTACACTGATGAGGGTTTAGAGGTAAAGAGCCTCAAGTTCATGCCACATAAGAATTCGTTGAGGGACCTGGAGTTTTTAGCCCTTTATGCCTCTCTTGACTCGCGTGTTTGTATGTCAAATTTTCTACTCAGCTTTGATCTTTTCATTAAGAATGTCTTGAAGTCCTCTATTTCATTAAAGATTCATTTTTCCCCCTGAATGATTATACTCAGTTTTGTTGGGTATGATTTTTGGTTGTAAAACTAGATCCCTTGTCTTCTGAAATATATATTCTACGTCCTCTGTTTTTTTATAGAGATGGCTGCTAAATCTTGAGTGATCCTGATTCTGACTCCTTGGTATTTGAAAGCTTTCTTCCTGGTTGCTTGCAGTATTTTTTCCTTGGCCTAGGAGTTCCAGATTTTGGTTATAATATTCATGGGAATTTTCATTTTGGTGTTTCTTTCAGGAGGTGACTGACAGATTCTTTCAATTTCCACTTTGTACTCTGGTTCTAAGATATTAGGACAGTTTTCTTTTGTAATTACTTGCAATATGATGACTAAGTTCTTTTTTTGTTTATGGTTTTCAGGAAGTCCAGTGATTCTTAAATTATTTTTTCCTCTATTTGTTTTCCAGGTCAATTGTTTTTTCTGAGATAGTTCAAGTTTTCTTTCTTTCTTTCTTTCTTTTTTGGCTTTGTTTTATTATTTCCTGATATCTTATACAGGCACTAGTTTCCATATGGCCAATTCTAATTTTCTAAGAGGAGTTATTTTTCTTCAGATTTTCTTCAGTAAGGTTTTGTACCTCTTTTTCCAAACTGTTAATGCTATTTTTATACATTCCTTCCCTAGCCCTTGCTTGTTTTTCCATTCTTTCCCTTACTACTCTCAACTGGTTTTTAAAATAAATTTTTAGCTCCTTACCTCTTGCTTTAACTCTTCAAGGAATTCTCAACGGACCTGTGTCCCAGCTGCATTTTAATCGGAGGCTTTGTAAGTTTTCAAAGCATTCTTTTCTTCTGTGTTTGTTGTCTTGAGCTTCCCCCATCACCACAATAGCTCTATATTTTTTGGTTCTTTTTTTGTTTGCTCATTCTTCCAGCTTTCTTCTTGACTTTGGACTTTATGTTAATGCTGCGCTATGTTAATAGAGGGTCTGCATATTTCTGAAGGGGATGTTTGGTCTGAGTTTCTGTCTTCTTATATCCATCTGCTACTTTCACAGTTCCACATGGGTCCCTGCAAGCTTTCAGTGCTTTCAAAGTAGTGTGATCCAAGGGGAAGTCTGTTCACTGCTCTGGTCTGAGTTCTGCAAATTCCTGGCCCAAGTGTGAGTCTGTCAATTTGTTTCTTGTTGGGAGTTTCAGCAGACTGTTACTTGTCTCAGTCAATACTGGTCCCCCCTCCCCGGTCTAGGACCTCTTTCTCTCTTTTGAGCTTCTCTTCACTTATATCACTCTTATAGCATTCTTGGGCAGCTAGGTGGCACAGTGGATAGAGTGCAGGGCCTGGAGTCAGGAAGACCTAGCTTCCTAAGTTCAAATCTGGCCTTGGACAGTGACCCTGGGCAAGTCACTTAACCCTGTTTGCCTCAATTTACTCAACTATAAAGAAGGAAATGGCAAACCACTCCACTATCTTTGCCAAGAAAACCCCAAAATGGGTCACAAAGAGTCAAATATGACTGAAATGACTACACAACAATATGCCATTCTTGGCTACTAGCTCGAAGGAAGCTAATAAGGCTCTAATAGATGTACTTTGCCTTAAGAATCACGCTTCTACTTCACTTCCTAGCTACCAGCTCCAAACTATGCCATTGCACATGGTACCCAGCTTCACCCCCATTTCTCAGCTTCCCTTTATATACTGTCTTCCCCCTATTAGCTATTAAGCAACTGGAGGGCAGAAACTGTTTTGATTGTTTTATTTGTATTACCAGCCCTTACCACAGTTCCTGACATATAGTAAGCCCTTGATAAATGATATCTACCTATCTATCTTTCTATTACTTCAATCTATAGCAAGCTATGAATATAATAACGAAGCTATCTTCCTTATTATACCATAGAGCTTTTAGAAGGCAGGGATCTTGTCTTACACAACTCTGTGTTCCTCATAGTGCCTTACACATAGTATGTATTTCATAAATATTTGTTAAACAAACATCTCATTCATCTATTTGACTTCTTTGAAGTATAAGTATAAAGACAGGGAGAACTAAGAGCTAACACTACTTAGAAGTCTTTTACCAGGTTCTATACAAAAGATTGTTAAAACAAAACAAAAACTGAATTACAAAAGAATTATGAAAATGTTCTGTTATGAACACTGAACTCACCTAGTAAAAGGAAAATGTAAGCAAGTATTTCTTAATCTTGTGTGCCACCTGGTAAGTTTGGTGCTACCCAGAATGAATAAACAAAAGGATAAGGCTTGTTTTTGACCTATAAAGCATGATTTCACTCAATGCAAATCAATTTAATTTAGTAAGTATTTATTAAGTGACTACTATAGTAGAGAGGCATAGTGACAGAATGAATAGACTGCTAGACTTCAAGTCAGGGAGACTTAATTGATCAAACTTAATCTCTGACACTCATTAACTCATAGTGTGATGCTGCAAAAGTTATTTAACCTCTCTGAGACTCTGGCAACTCTCTAAGATAGGAAAATTGGACTGTGACTTGCATTGATGTAAGGTTTTCCTGCATTAGCAAAATCAGAGATTTTTCTTGTGCTGACAGATATCTAGATCTGTAAAAGGCATAACAGCAACATAAGACATGTTTATAATCTTATTGGGATGTAATAGAACATAAGATATTAAGAATACAACCAATAAATAAATAAATAAATAAAAAGAATACCAAAAAATGTGTATGTACCCCTCCACTTAAAGGCTTTCTTCTTTGGTGCCTCATCAAGGCAAGAAGGCTCTCTGAGGCCTTCACAGCCCTCAGGTTATCATGAGCTCTGGCACTGGTAGATCCTACCAAGTGAGAAAAGCTTCAGGTATAGGCCCAGGAGTAGGCTGTACTCCTGTTATTTAAGGGCCATCTCAGTTTGGTTCAGAGAAGCTCATCATTCAAAGATTGGGCTGAGCAATTCACAAAGACCAATGATAAAACTAAGGAGGGGATGAGATCTGTGACAGCAGAGGAAGCACTCACACCATAAAATCACAGACACTTGAAATGTTGAAATGTGCCATTGTTAAGGGTACCATCATCTTTCTAGTCATTCAGATTTGAAGCCTGAGTCATCTGTCCTCAATTTCTCATTCACCAGTAGTTGCCAATTCTTGCTGATTCTACTTCAAAACATCTTTCACAGCAGAATCACCCTTCTATCCATTCACACTACTACAACCAACTAGCTCAAGCCCCCATCACCCATAGCCAAGGGTTATTGTGATAATTTCCTAATTGATTTCCCTGCCAAAAATCTCTCTCCTCTCCTCTTGGTCCTCCACATAGCTGTCAAAATGATATTTCTAGGGCAAATGTTTGAAACTGTCACTTTACTGCTCAAGAAGTTCCAACTGTTCATTGTTACTCTAGGATCAAATATAAATTCCTTTATTCAGCACTAAAAGTTCTTTATAACAGGGCTCCAATCCAATCTTACTATAAACTACTTCCCTTCATACACACCAGCTTAAGCAAATGGATCTTCTTCCTATTTCTAATTTATGTCATTTCATTTGAATCTACATGCCTTTATATGGGTTATCCCCCACACCTGATATGTACTTCTCACTTCCCTCTCTTAGAATCAATGTTTTCCTTCAAAGCCCAACTGAAATGGTCCCTCATACATGAGGTCTAGTTTCCTAATCACTCCAATTGCTAGTGTCTCTCCCAAGAAATTAGAGTGTACTTCATGCACTTACATAAATATATGTTGTTCTTCTCAAGAGAATGTAAACATCTTGAGAGATCTGAGTATTTCATTTTTTCTTTGCATCTTCAATGCTTGCCATATAATACAATATACATATAATACAATGCTTGCTGATTGAACAAATGAAAAATGCAGGTTTACATATGAAGTCAGAAACTTATAGTCTGTTATTTCAACAAGTGCATAAACAAATACGTTCAAAAATAACTTAGTAAAACTTTGACTCATCTATAATGGATTATTAAGGATATTCAAACTATCTCTAACCCTTTGTAATGGGCATTATTTACAAGTAGTCTTTTGGTACCAAAGTCAGAGACAAACTTCTTTGCTAGATTATAAAAGTATTTTATTTGCAGGAGTGAGTTAACTATGATTGGCCTAAAAAGAGACTGTCTAGCATATTATCAATTGAAATAATCAGACAGATTAATGTTTTAGTTTTGATTTAATTAATATGGAAATCCCTCCATTGAGGCAAATCAGGTACTCTTTTGTTAACTAAATAGCCTTAGAGCATTGCCAAGGGGCATTAAAAATTAAGTGATTTGTCCATGGTCATATATTTAGTATATGTAGCAGGTGGGACTTTAACTCAGGTTCTTTTGACTCCAGTGCTCTTCCTCTATTGTGTATGAGTATATGTTTATATATGATTAAGTCACAATCATCATTGGTGAAGGGAATTTATGAATTGGTGTCATCATAGATACACTACATACTACATAGATTCACGTATTATGTATAATTAAGCTATGGAAAACAGATCCAATAATATTTCAGTTCTACAGTGGTTACCATGTTGATCTTTAAAATAAAATCAAAATTAAAATACAACAAAGTATTTTCAAAATCATTACAAAATGTTTTAGCCAGCTGGAGGAAAGGGAAAATATCTGTTCAAATAGTGAAATTCAGAAAGAAGCCCCTAGATTTATCCAAGGTAGTACCTTTCCACATGCGAATTGCAAGTCCCCTTGCCACATCTAATAAAATAACTCTGCCAAAATCGTCAGTTACTGCTGCTAGTGTGTTACATGGAGAGAGACATATGCTTTCACCATGGCGCCTTGAATCAGGAAGCCCAAATCTGATATTAAAAAGAAAACACAAAAACATATCACAATCTTGTGAAGTAGGAAAAAATCATTAAACATTTAAACAAAAGAGTGTATTTGTTTCAACTTTTAAAAAACGAAACTTGCTTCAAATTAATATTCATTTTTGTGGGCTGATCAAAGATGAATGTTTTCTAATAAAGAGTTTTGGGCTATAAATTGGCCATCTGGAATAAGAAAATGAGCTGTTCTGGATAGGTGAGTTTTCAAAATAATTGAGCATTTACCTCTTTAAACATCAAAACTATTTATTTAAATCTGAATTAAAATCTTTCTAAAATGTAGCCTCACTTCCCTGCCTTCTGTAAATAAAGCTGAGTGAAGACAATCTGTCATTTTTTTTATGATTTGGAATCAACATTACAATTATTTTACACTCATATACTGTCATGGCCTATTTGAGGTATGCACACAAAATGGCACTAGGCTGCTATGCTTTTTTCATTCATATGTCTACTACTTTTTCTGTCTCCTTCCTTACTTTCATGCTGTTACTTGTCATTCCCTTTAGTTGCCAATATGCCTACCTGTAATGAAGAGTCTTCTCCCTTTGAATTTGCTAAAGACCTGGAAAGCAGATAGCCATTCTTGTCAGATTTATATATCACTTAAGAGTAAATAATCTCTTAGTGAGGGACTGAGGGGTCTCCTAAGAGTACAGTGTGTGAGTGTCGATGCATAAACTTTGTCACATCTATTTTGTTTCCTCAGAAGTCCAGCTATGCCTTCTGTCTTACTTGTTTGTTCCTCATTCTCCTCTAACCCCTCAAATGTAATTTTTGCCTTGTCTTCCCTTTTTTTCTCTCTACACTTTCTCTCTTAGTAATTTCATCCACTACTATGGCTTTAATTATTATTCTTGTGTAAATGACTTCCAATCTCTCTCTTCATCTCCAACCTTCCTCCACAGGCCCAGCTCCCTATTTTCAACTGCCTAATGGATATTTCTTCCTAAAAGTTCTACCACACCAGTATGTTTCTTACTAAATTATTGTCTAACCTACCCTCAGTCTTTATTTCTCTTAAAGAACCCACTATTCTCCTAGTCACCCAGTCATATAATCTTAAAGTAATCTGACTCTTCTCTTTCCATCATAATACACATCCAATCAGTTGCCAAGACCTGTCTTTCTTTCTCCACAATATCTCCAGCATTCCTCCCTTCTCTCCATTCCACTATAACTGCCCTTGTTCATGCCCTTGAATATTTTTAGACCATTATAATTAGCCACTTAAATACATCTCCTATTTGCATGCTACACTTTCTCCAATCTAGCCTTCACATCATTGCCTATATAATTTTCCTAATGTACTCTTCTGGCCGTGACACCCATCAGTGGTTCCTCATTGCCTATGGAATAAAGTATGAATTCTTGGTTCCAGAATCCAAGACTTTCCATGATCTAAATCCAGTCTGCTTTCCTAATTTCATCTCTTATTCCAACTAGAATGTCCTTCATTTTCGGTTCCCGTTCTTCCCTCTCAGATCTCTATGCATTTGTTCATACAGTCCTCAATGCCTCGAACGGTTCCGCCCTACTCTGCTGACGATGCCCGCCTGTAGAAATCCCTCCATTCCTTCAACACACAACTCGGTGCCATCTCCTCCCTGAAGCTCTTCCCTTCACCACCTTTTCCCCCCGGGTGAAAATGATCCTCAAACTGTTCACAGAACTTGGCCTGAATCTCTCAAGCTCTATACTTCTTCCATTATAATATAGTTACTTGTGATCACTGCCCTCTTCCCCATTAGATTGTAAACTCCTTGAGAGTAGGGTCTATGTTACAACTATATTTAGAATCATCATCATCACCTCACATTTCTCTAATACTTGAAGGTTTACAAAGTCCTTTCCATAAAACAATCCTCTGAAACAAGCAGGGCAAATAGGAGCCACATTGTATAGATGTGGCAACTTAAGCTCAAAGAAGAATTTAAGGGTCCTTAGAGTAGCACCTTTCACATTTCAGGTAACTAATGAATATTTCATTAATTTTTTTGGTATCCTTCCTGGTTCTCAAAGTTGATGCACTAAATAAACTTTAAATAATAGTTCTTAAGAAGGATCTACTAAAGAGAAAGAAATCTAATTTAAATGGTATTTTCTTTCCTGACTCTCTTATTCAATAGTAAATAAGCAGAAAATAAAAACAGAGGCATAATACACAGACTAATCTGGAATATTACTAATGTATTCCAGGCCAACACAAGTTGACTCTCTGATACATGCTCACATATCTTTAACACTTATGCTTTGATTCTATTGTTAATATTTAAACAAATGAATTAAATCTTGTCCAAAGTAGCTATATGTGTTATTGTTGTTTCAGATGTTATTTCACCAGTGTGGAGGTTTTCTCCTAGTGAGAAAACTCTCTGCACCAATGCAAATTGACAACTTTAACAGTGCCTTACAGTTTTAAGAGTTTCTCGGCCATTAAAGGGTTAAAGTGGCTTGCCCATGGTCACACAATTTGTGCATGGTCATACAGTATGAATCAGATACAACGTTAGAACTCAGGTCTTCCTAACTCTAAGGCCATGTTGCTTCTCTTAGTGACATGCTATTATAACTTTTTAAAGAAAGGAATTCAATGGTTTTTACTGGACTCATTTTATATTACAACAAAGAGAGAAAAAAGTAAATATTTCAGTTGGTATCCTAACAGCTCTAAAGAATAAGCAGACTGATGGACAACCAATGAGAAATGAACTGGAAATTTACAAAAATTACAAAATTCAACAGTCAAATTGAAATTATAAAAAATATTTTTAAAAACTACATATCAGACTTGCCTTACAGCTAATGGTGTTGCTGGTTCAACTTTTGGTTTCTGCTTCTGAATAGCTTCCTCTTCATGCTTACTCTTCCAACCAAGCCAGCCACTTGAAACAAAATGAATTAAGAATAACACTAATGATTCTAAAACATTGAAATGCAGTCTTAAAACAAAGCTAAGTGTATGTGAAGTTATTCTGAATCCCATTACCTTGCAGCATTAAATAATGCAGAAGTCAGTTTACTTGCAACTGCTAAAGCAACATGAGACAGCAACGGCTGTGAACTTCCCTAAGGAAATAACAAAAGAACACAAATTTTATACCTAAGAAAACAAATAAGAAAAAGATAACCATCCTTGCATAAAAAACCTGGCACTAGATAAAAGAAAAAAGTCTTTTCAAAATAATATAAATTTGAAGAATTTTGGAAGACTGGTCAAATCTACTCTAATAAAAATGCACAGCTCACCTCAACACACAATTAGAGTTTTACTTTAAGAGGGAACCTAATTTCCAAAGTAAAATTTACTTTTTAAGAGTACATTATCAGGAAAAAGTCCACTCTTTCTTTTTTCCCTTCCAAAATCGGGTCCCCCCCCCTTTTAAAAGCACTATTAGATTCACCATCTTCACTTAACTAGATCTCATAAAAGTTTAAAGTATTTTGAGGTTGTTTTTTACATGAGAAAGGAAAAGTGGTGCCAAATCTGACCTCTCAGCCAAAATTTTAACAACCTTAAAAAAGAGATAAAGTTCAGAAGTCATAGGAGCTAGAATTTGCTCTTTTGAAAGTCTACTTTCTCTCTCCTTGCAAATGTTCCTTCTCAGGGGCAGCTAGGTGGCGCAGTGGATTGAGCACTGGCCTTGGAGTCAGGAGTTACCTGAGTTCAAATCTGACCTCAGACCAAACACATGACACATGCTAGTTGTGTGACCCTGGGCACGTCACTTAACCCCAACTGCCTAAAAATAATGATAATAATAAAAAAAAACACAAGCAAATGTTCTTTCTCTCAAATTGCTTGTGGGTTATGATCAATTCTGAAGCTTATTGTCTGTTTACCCAGGAAGGTATTACAATTCAGGTACGAAATTTAGGCAATGAAAAGTACAAATGACATAAGGACATGCAAGTTAGCTATCAGAAACTTGAGGACATCAAAAAACAGAAGTGTTTTAGCAACTGAGATGTCGAGGAAAAGGCACTGAGACCTTAATTTCAGTATCGGTTCCATTACTAAGTAATTTTGATAGATCAGTTTTTTAAAATACATTAACTTCTTTTAACCCTGCTGTTCAAGTACTGTTTCTGTCAAACAAAATGGGTGTGCAATTCTGGGGAAATTAAGAAACCAATCCCTTGGTGCCACAGGCAATTTTCCAAGTTGGAGGGAAATAGGAAGTTTCTTCACTGGAAATTCCCTCTACCAATGAAATTACATCTCTAGTGTTTTGGTTTTTTTTTTTTTTTAAAGAAATGTTGTTTTAGAGTCAAAAATATATTCTGAACTAACCACATCTTTTAAATATAAGAAGTTTATGAAAATGGTCCAAGAAGTAAAAGATATATCATGTTTGTCTGACTAAGACCACTTAAAATATAAACTGTATCCCAATGAAAGGAAAGTTATAATTACACAAAGTTACCAATGTAACACACACTGACCTATAAATCTGATTTCTTTTCTAAAACTAACTAAAACAACCTTTTCCCCCTAAAAAATGTAAAGCATCACTGTAAGGAACACAAAAGTAGGGAAGCTGAAAACACCAAACAAACATGGAAAGCAGAGTTAGAGAGTCACACAGATATATCATTTTCTTTCTGCCTCTTCTCTTACACCACTCCATAGGCATCCCTTGCTCAACTACAAAATTTAGAAAACTCACAATTCTATGATATCTACCAGTCCTGCCCATGGCACTGAACCCCATAGAGCCTTTGAAGCTTCAAACAGCAGAAACTATCATCATCTCTCAAGAAGTGAGAAATAAAGCCTGAGAGCTATGGGATGAAGTACTAACTTCTAGAAAGAAAACTTTCCCCAAGATCCCTTCCCACCTACCATTTCTACTGGTTTACTACAATCTCCAAGACATGGGGGAACAAGGGAGATATGAGATTTATAACAAAATCTCTATGTCCAAAGGGACTCAGAACAGGGATGAATGCAATTTCTCTGGACATGTAAGCAGGAGGGATCTGTATCCGTGACCTTGAAGCAACAAAGGTATGTGAATGCATCAGATTCCCTAGCACCTTTTCTAGCCAAAGGAAAAGCTTTCAGTAGCTGTTTTTGTCTGGAAGACCACTAAATTTTAATCTATATCTAAGCTACTAAAAGCACCATTATAGACTACACTCAGGTATGTCAGATTTGGGGGAAAGTGTGGCCTATATTCATACTAATTTAGAATACTGAAGTCATAAAATGAGTATTTCAAGTATATATATAGTACAGAATACAAGACCAGAAACTATTCCTTAGCAATATGAAAATATTTACATTCAATTTTAGGTTCATAAGAAATTTTCTTCCTATTTTCAAACTGAATAAAAAGTTTATATGGTTTTCAGAGTTTATTAAGAGAAAAATGTACACAATATTTTTTGTTGATAACATACTTTGAGTGATTTACATTAGCAGATCTTAACATAGTAATCAAGATCATTTTTCTGGCTAGAAATACATTTGAAAAAAATCATGAAGCCCCATGAAATATTAAGCATGTCATAAGACAAAAAAGCAGGTCTCAAAAAGAATCTGCCTTGTTTAAAACAAAACCAAAACCTGTCTGATAATGTCAAATAGTCAAATTGCTGTCAAACAGCTTCTTGAGTTTAATCTAAATTTTCCATCAAGCATATTATATAACATACTTAAATTCTTCTGTTGTAAAATAAATATTAACCTTTCAAGGTACATTGCTAAAAATAATTTTGAACCTTTTTTTAATAGGAAACTAGAAAGTTTGAAGTAAAAGTAAATTTCTAATAACAGAATAACTCACAGAGATGTCTATGCACATAAAAATAGGAAAGAAGAAAAGAGTTTAAAAAGTCAAAATGTTTACCTTAATCATTACCATTAATGGAATACATACCTCTAAAGCATAGAAGAAACCAGTAAATGGATTTGACCCAACAGTAATGTACTGAGACATTGCAGGTGGACTATTTTTTATTGCTGCATTAAATCCACCTATATTTGAAGCCGTTTTCATTTGATCAAAAGGAGATAGTGTCATGATTCCTATGACAAAATAATGATATTAAAACTGCTGAAAAAATGTTATTTCAGACTGCTAAATTTTTAGTTAAGATTTGTTTTTAAATACAGTAAAGGGCAAGGCAATGAGTTGGGGAATGATCACTAAATCTAAGGTCAAAGGACCTTGGTTTGAATCCTGGTTGTACTATTTACTAGCTGTGTGACATTGGGAAAATCACAACCCTTGGGGCAGTGAGTAGAGCCCTGGAGTCAAGAGGACCTGAATTCAAATCTGGCCTCAGACACTTGACACTTACTACTGTGTGACCCTGGGCAAGTCACTTAACCCCACTGTCTAGCCAAAAAAAAAAGGAAAATAACAACCCTTCTGAATCTTAGTTTCCTTATCTGTAAAATAAGTAGGCTGAACTAGAGTATGTCTAAGGTCTGCTTCTAGCTCTTGATCCTATGATATTTATATTTAGTTTTACTTTAAAATACAAAGATTTTTAAAAGTTTTTTTTAAATGCCAGAGTTATGTTTCTATTCATTTGACAAGTTTTGTTATGAAAAAAAGAATACAATAAAACAGTCTAAAATATTGAAAGGATTACTGCACGTTAATATTAGTAATCTATCTTTCCTGATTCTAAGAAATATGTCAAAAATAGTACATGTAAACAAAAAGCTACAATAAGCTATTCTGTTTTTTTTTTTAAATGAATAAGTGACTTTCTACTTCCAAAATATTTAGTGTACCAGTGGGAGCTACAGGTGCTCATCCCACACTAAAAAAAGGAGAAGAGAACCACTGCTCTTGGTTGTGTTTATCTCCCTCCAGAGGGACAAGAGAGTACAGAGATGGCCAACAGCATACAGCTCTACTAGGCAGGTCACAACCTGCTGGCTGGAAGACCTTCAGTTTAGTAAACTGATGCATATAGGGTAATCTTCAAACTGCCGAGCATGCTAACGGTTGGCCAATTTCAACAACTAAGCATGCCTAACTCAGGCTTGTAAACTTAGGTTTTTTGTTTTAGATCTACAAGCAGCGTATTCATTACTTAGCATTTTTTTCATAGACTTGATGCATATCTAGCAGGCACTGTATCGGTGAATTTGAAGGCTATGGAATACCACCTGGATCACGGCATATAAATGGTCCTTTACAATTTTAAACAGTTCCAAAAACAAGTGGTGGTTTATATGCTAAATATAAAATAAGAAACTTGCCAATTGTAAGCCTTGAAACAAAAACTCTAACCTCAAGTTAACTCTTTACCAAGAGAAGGCAGAAATCAAAAAGTTCAGGTGCAGCTGCTTAGGCAAATATAAAGTGGAGCACTACCAAGTTAACAAATATAAACTGAGTAACTGAAACTTTCAAATGAAATGTTAGAGTTTATAATAGTTAACACAGCAATGTAACAGTTACTAAATAAGTTTCTCTTGTTATTGTATATATGGATATTATGTACATAACCACTAATACCATATACCTTAGAGACCGCTACCTCTAGTCTTAAGACCCCCAAGATTGCAAGGGTAAGGAGTCAGATTGTGAAGAGCTTGGATGTGAGGGGTAAATGAGAGTGGAGAGTCAAGGATGACACAGGCTGTGAGCCTGGGTGACTGGGAAGATCACTGAGTGACTGGTCCCTTTAACAATAATAGGACAATTTGGAAGATGGCATATTAATTTTTCCCCAGCTTCTCTCCTGCTGAATACTCAAACCCAGTTGAACAAATACTCCTCTGAATGAGTAATTCAAATAGCATTGATTCGTTTTTGAAGGGAGAGGGAGAGAATGACGAGATAAAGGAAAGGGAGAAAGGAATAATAAAATCTTATAAACACAGTTAAAAGGTTCTAACAAAATGATATTATTAAATTTCAAAACTGAGATTAAATTTGAAGTTTTTTTACTGCTTTAATTCACTATTACTAATGCTTTGCATCACTTCTTATTAGACAGTAACTGTAAGTTCAAATTTGCTTAATCTGTTTTTAATGACAGGAATTTAGTTTGAAGGCTATAATTCTGAGGGACTGAACTATCCAAAGGTTTAAATATTTCTGTGGAATGAGGCCAACCAGTAAATAAAACAAATCAACTATCACATATATACTTTCTGAAAGTATACTAATAGTATATAGGTCATATGTTTAAACATTAAAACTGTAAAGATATCTTACTCTCCATTATTTCAGACATTAAGCTATGTGACCTTGCATGACTGCTTCAATCTATGAATTTTTCACTAAGAATGACATTTTTCTTTCCATAGAGGAACATAGTCTCATTACTTGTAGTCCCTACTCATTATTTCTTAAACATCTAGAAGCTCAATGTTTCACAAGCAAAACAGATTTCATTATTTTCCAAAAAAAAATCCTGCCCTCTTCTCAAGTTCCCTATTACTGTCACAGGCACCATCATCCTCCCAGTAATGCTGGCTCACAATCTAAGTGTCATCCTTAGCTCTTCACTCTCACTCACCCCAAAGGACATCCAATTTTTTGACAAACCTTTCCTTACAACTTTTTTCATATGTCCCCTTCTCTCCCTCAAACAGTTACTGCCCTGGTTCACATCTGCATCACCTCTTGACTAAACTATTACAATTATCTTCTAATCATTCTTCCTGTCTTATTTCTCCCAATTCTAATCCATGCTCCCCTCAGCTTCCAAAGATTTCTCTCTTTGGAATTTAGGATTTCTCTCACATCACTCTCCTACTCAATAAACTCCAGCCTTCCTAAGTTAGAATCAAATGTAAAATTCTTTGTTTGACAATTAAAGACCTTCACAATCTGGCCCCTTCTTCTTTTTCCAGTTTTCTTTTCCCTTTACTTCCCTCCACATACTTTACGATCCAGCTACGGTGACTGGCTTCCTGGCTGTTCCTCACATGTAATACTCCAGCTCCTACCTCTTGGTCTTTGTCCTTCTGTCCCTCATTCCTGGACTGCTCTGCCTCCTTACCTCTGCCTTTTAGTTCTCCTGACTTTCTTCAAGACTCAGCTTACATCCTACCATCCACAGAAGGCCTTAACACTGTACTTCTAGCTGCTAAAGCCTTCCCTTCTGAGATTATTTTCTACCTGCTCTGTACAGATCTTTTCCAGTAATTTACATGTTATCTTCCCCATTAGAATTTAAGCTCCTTGACAGCAGGCATTGTTTTTACCTTTCTTGTTGTCCCAAGCATTCGGCACAACGCCTATTGCATAGTATGTACTTAAATGTATGTTGATTCTCTGAGCCCCAACTTCCTCATCTGTAAAATGGTGATATTTTTATTATCTGCTTGACTATTGTACCCCTTAAAGAATCACATGTGAGCTACTATCACAGTACTAATGACATGAGAACTCCCTAAATAAATACTACTAAAGTAATTTTTTAAAATTCAAATACTAATGCTTACCAATACTTGCATGATCAATTATGGTATCAATATCCTGTAGACCCCATTTCTTATATGCTAAAGGTGGTGGCTGTATGTTTTCATTACCCGATGCTGCAGCTATAGAATTAAGAATTACAGTCATTAGGAAGTTGTTTTTTTATTTCCTTCCCAAATTGTTAAAATTCAACTAAAATTTTTTATCATGAAAAACTAAAATGAATTCACTCAATTTGTTTTTTAAAATTGTCATTTTTTAAAAACTGTCAATTGACAATCTTTGCCAGTAAGGAAGCAAAAATACAATTGTTAATTGGTTTATTAGCTTCAATGAAGAATATATAGAACATTAAAGATAGAATCCAAGTAGTAATAGCAGATCACAATGGGATTTAATGTACTCAGGAAAGTATTATACAGAAAGTAGAAACTCAAACAGTTAACTATTGTCAATCTGGTAGATACAGATGTTAATAGCAATACTAGAATAAGTGAATAGCAATAGAAACTCTGTCATGAATAATTCCACTTAAATAAAGCACAACAGTAAGTAAAGAAAGAGTAACATTCAATGTTACAGGTTACCAACTTAGATTATGGAATTCTTCCAAAAGCTTCCAGTTCACCTCCTCCTACCCCTTCCACTGCTAGTGCCTCCCCTCTAAGATTATCTTCCATTTATTCTGACTATATTTTGTATGTACATAGGTATTTATAGTTTGTCTCACATAATGCCTGGTACATAGTAAGTATTTACTATGTTTGCTGACTGACTGCATCAGCTAACCGCTAGACAAGATATTAGAACACAGTTAAATTTTTATTCAGTTCCCTCTATAAAGTTAAGATGATTATTTTAGTAAAAGAAAAATAAAACCCAATTTTAAAAGCACGATGAATAAAGGTCAAGAAAACAGATTTATTTTCCCACATCATCAATTGAACATGACCCACAATACAGATAAATAACTGGACTTGTAGTCAGTGCAATTCAAAACTAATAAGAGGCAATGACCAACTATATTTTTCACATTAGAAAAGAGTATATATAGTTTCACAAAATAAATCACATTTAACATATAGGAATCTTGATATTTCAAGTAGCAAAGGGTATCCATCAATATCAACTAAAAATATGATATTTCCTCGAAGCTTGCCTACACAGAATTCCAACTAAAGACAAATACTTTGACTTTATTGCTAAAAGAAAAAAGAGCAATGTTCTAAATTCATGTATGAATTTAAAGTGACTTTTATTATAAGATTTATTATAAAAGATAATTGAAGTGAAGGGAGAAAAGTGTGTGTTAATTTTATAGGCTGTAATCTCCTGAAATTCAGGGTCCAGAAAAGAAAAAGAAACAACAGCTTCTAAAATGTTTCCCAATGCAGAAATCTTTGAAATCCTTTTCATTATGCTAAAAATAAGTGTGAAAATATTAAAACTATTAACACTGACAGGAGTTACACAGTTTCTTATCAGAACTTTACCTTTTGCTACCTGATTTCGACAAGCACGAAGGGACTGGAAAAGGCTGAAACCATCAATAGTCACAATTGCAGCTGGATACAAGATACTCAACTCTTCATTCTTTTCAATGAACAAGGAAAAAAAATCAATTTTCAACACTGCCACAACAGATCTGTTTATTTTATTTAAATGTCTTGAATAATCTAGGAAAACAAAAACAATGGCTGAATAACTAATTCTAGGGTTCAAAAACAAAAAATACCAGGAAGAGAGACAATAAAAACAAATGGAAAATTTTCCTGAAGATTTTTGGCCAATGCTTTAACATTCTAGACAAATATGAGCTTTTGTATTTATGATGAAGCACAGCCTTAGACTAGTTTTTTTAAATCTTCATTGACATTTATTTTAATCAAAATGTGGAAAACTGAAGGCAGTCCAGAAAAATGAATCAAAATGTTAGAAGAGTTGAAATTGTTTGATCTAAAGAAAGTTAAACATTATACCAGTTACAGTCACATACGTAAAAGGTAATTGAGGGTTAACTTCTACCAATTTTTTCCAACCCATTGTCTACACCCATTACTTCATCTCCCTAACATCCATTTACTCCCAAATCTATGTGACTCACGTCATTATCACTAATGAAATTATTCTTTCAAAATGATCACTACCAATAATTTCCTCAGCAAGTACAATGGGTTTTTCTTCATCTTCATTGTCCCTAAGACTAAATTTCCTTGCCAATGAGTGATATTGGACTAGATAGCCTCTAAGGTCCTTCCTAAATCTAAATTTATGATTCTATGATTTTTTTTTTTTAGGCAGTTGGGGTTAGGTGACTTGCCCAGGGTCACACAGCCAGTAAGTGACAAGTGTTTGGGTCCTCCTGACTTCAGGGCCGGTGCTCTGTCCACTGCGCCACCTTGCTGCCCCTGATTCTATGATTTTAACATTCTCCTTGTCCACTCTAGCACATTTCTGCACATCCCACTTTCCACAAACTCTTGTCTCCAATCTGATTCTCTTCCTACTTGTACCTCCATCTGTTGCCTTCTTGGCTCCTCTTCCTTAAAGGTCAGTGTTCCTTTAGTTTCAGTATCAAGCTTCTACTTTTCTATCTCTATTTTTTAATCTCTTAAGGAGTTCATCCATTCCTATGACTTCTACTATTGAACCCTAAACTTCCAAATCTTTATTTTGCCTTCTCACTTCAACTCCAGTTTTCAAATGGCATTACCATTGTCAAATATTGCCAACAACTTCAAATTCAATAATCTAAAATAGAACTATTTTCTTTCCCTAAACCAACTCCTTCCAAACTTTTCTGTCAACAAAACCAATACTTTACTTCCTAAATTCAGGTGTTCACCAAGTCCTATTAATTTTTTCTTCACAATGTCTCTTGCTACAACCACAGAATGTAAGACATGTAAAATAGACCTCAGAGCTCATCTAATACCCCTATTTTACAAATGACAAAGCTTGCCCAAGGTCACTCAAATAATCAGTGGCAGAGTAGCATTCCCCAACCATTAGTGCTACCACAAGTCCAGTTTATCATCAATTCATCCTTGTATTAAACACTTAACTGCTATCCCTGATTCCATTCCCTTGTCAATTTACTCTATACCTAACTGTTAAATTCAGCTGATCTTCCCATTACATGAATTTCATCATGTCACTCTTCTTTTTGGAATCTTTAAAATGATCCCTAGTGATTCCTGTATCACATCTAAACTTCTCTACTTGACTTTCTAGGCCACCCACAATAACCTGGTATCTTCAATCATATTTCCCACTTCCATGTGTGTGTGTATGTGTATGTATGCATGCATATATGTGTGTGTATACACACACACACACGTCTCTTATATACACACACAAGCATATAAATTTGTATGGGTCTAACAAACACACACACACCTCTTCTACTCTAGTCAAAATTGTTCCTCACCTTCCCAAGAACATAACATGATCCATATTTTCCTTGACGTCATCTCCCTTAACTGAAATAACTTCTCTTTTTCTATCCAAATTTTTTCTAGACTTAGCAATTAGTAATATACTATTTTATACTGTTGGTTAACTTTCACATTATATATTCTTCTCTCTCCAACTATGTTGCAATCATCTTAATAGTAAGATGGCAGCCTTTTACTCTTTTTGGATCCTCCATAGCACTTTAACACAATGGTGAACACACATATAAAATATTTAATAATAGAATAAGCATCCAAACAGTATACACAGGCTAAAACTGCAATCAAAGAGAGGGGGTAACCACACAGACACACTTTACTCTAACAGTGATGAAGCAATGTTACCATCCAACAAGACAAGATGTGGAATGTATGTCTCTGGAGAGACCTACAAATTGAATAGTCAACAATCTATATTTGATTAATTAGTTGATGATTTACCTTCAGACGGAACTGAACTTGACATAATGAGGTATTTTCTACATTCTACAACTCTGGATATTTAGCACAAAAATATTCATTTTGTGCACTTCATCTTCCAAAAACATTATAAATATCAGTCATAACTAATAATTATGTAACTTAATAGATGGATCAACAATCACTTTATAAATGAGATATGGCAGTATTATGTAATATGGTATTAATGATAATATTACTGGAAACTTCTTTCCCTTTTCTAAGAATAATTTTACTTGACAACTATTGCCACAAAATAAAAAAAAATGTAAAGGTGTATAATACCATATTATGTTCTATATTTAAAACTACTTTTTTCCTTGGGAAATTAAAAGTTATTAAATATTATAAACAGTAAAAAGTTGAGGACTCCTAAAAATTACACTCTAAAATAGAAGAAAATATATAATATTCCATTAAACAAAGAAAAGCAAGCCTGAAATTTTCAGCATTTAATTGTTAAGATACTATAGTTTTCGTTTGAAATAGCTTTGCCAACTGTTGGAAACTTCTAAATTTTGTCTCTGCAAAAGAATAAGGAATTGCTCTGGACTAACATCATTGGTTTTTTTGTTTGCTTTTATTTTATTTTGGTTTTGCTTGGTTGGTTGTTTTTTATCTGCTAACCTGCTCTGTAACTCCAGGATGCCTTGGGATTTCATAAGTCCTGCATTTTAGCTGTAGTACAGGGTCTTCATTCAAAAGTTGTGCAAGCAACAAAACACCATTCTAGAAGGAAATCAGAATAGATACAGATATTTAATCTCATTTTAAAAATATACAGATATTTTACAGATAAAGAGTACCTCATTTCCCTACAAAATTTCACGGCTCTAGTTCCTCCTCCTTCTCTCACCTACCCTTTCTCCCACTGAATTAGAGCAGAGGTCCCAAACTTATTTGGCCTTCCACCTCGTTTCAAAAAAGAATTACTCAGCACCCCCCTGGAAATCTTACAAAGTAGGAGAGAAGTCTCAGATTAAGTGTACACTTGTACCCAAAACTACCGCCCCCCTGGATCATTCCAGCACTCCCCAGGGTGTGGTATCACCCACTTCAGGAACCACTGAATTAGAGCAACTATGTGGAAATCCTTAATTGTTGTCCTTTGTTCTTCCTCCATCACCTTTTAATGCCCATTTGTCCCAATGGCTACCGAGAATCTCTATGTTTTTTGGTCAAATTGTTAGGGTACTTATTAGTTAACCTAAAAAATATATAAGATAATCAACTTGGTAGGTTCTCTAAGGGAGTCAAAGTAACGTTGTAAACAAATAACTCACCTCAGTATAGAATCGAACATAACCAGAAGTAAAGCCCACCACGATGCAGGTCCAGTCAGGGCGCCCGGTAGAACTTCTGTTGTAACCAAAATGTCACAAAAATTAAATATCCTATAAACTAAGTTAGAGACAAAAGAATTTTTTGCTTGTTCTTACCTCTTTTGACTCGCCAACGGAATACACAAGGCACTACTTACACATTCCCTAAAAACAAAATTACTATTTTATAAAAAATGAAGATCTAATTTGTTCTTTCAAGTAAACAATTCATAGTAGTAATAGTAATAGTAGTGATGGTAGTTAGTATTTATACAGCACAATAAGGTTTGCAAATTGCTTTACATAATTTGATAAAGGGTTAAAAAAAGCAATGGTGACGGAAAGGATTGGTCACATAAATAGGTCCCAAGTAGTATTAATGATGAAACACATACAATGGTAACATATTCATATTCACACTATCAAAGTCATAATTATGTGAATGAAATATGGCAACTGTTTCCAGCCCAATGGAAATTTAAATAATGCAATCACTTCATGAGATCCATTATGTGCACTAATTGGGACACACACAAAATTTGATTCACTACCTCTTTTTTTCTAAATCTAGTCCAATCCCACAGATAATATCAATTTGTAGAAAAACAAGGAATACCCCAACCCTACTTCTAAAACCTACTAGGTTCTCCTAATACCCTAGAACTATAAAGGAAGTATACTAATTCCCAAAGGAAACTTCCTTCATTTTCCAAAAATTTGAGGTTGTGTCAGGTAGTCCGAGGTGATAAACCATAAAATTCCAAATAGCATCTACTCACTTATCCTCCTTCACCCAACCCCAGACTAACTTCTTCAATAAATCCACACTCCTTACTAACTCACATGGACAACAAGAACATTCCTGCCCAACACTAGTACAAAAGAAAAAAAATTAAAAACACTCACTGAAACAACATACTCTATTCTGGAGATAAAATGTCTTTATTCAAAGGATTTGATTTGAATGATTTGAAAACAAATTTGTATTTCCTCTGATAACTGAACTGAAAGTCTCCAAGATTATCTTATTTATTCCCGAGACGAAGCTTTGAGGCATGGTAAAATTAATTAATATCAAGTTTCTTGGCGTCCTGTGCTACTAGCAGTATATTTTGATACAGTGGATAGAGCAATGGAGTTCAAATGTGGTCTGAGACACTTAATAGCTATCTGATCCTGAGAAAGTCACTTAACTGCTTGCTTCACTTTCTCAACTATAAAATGGGAATAAGAGTATTACCTCCCAGGGCTGTTCTGAAGACGAAATGAGTTAATATTTGTAAGGTACTTAGCAGAGTGTCTAACACATAGTAGACATTTAAGAAATGCTCAATTCCTTCCTTCCTTCCTTTCTTCCTCTCTCCTTCCCCTCCCTTCCATGCTAGAGAGTAGTTCAGAATTTCTCACTCTTTAGGAGGAATCTATTTACTATATTAAGTAATCTCTACAACTCTGAAGAACTTAGAGATTTTAGAAATAAATGATACTATATTTTTCTTCGGGTATTATCCTATATCTAGCCTAGAGGGTATAAATAATTTCTTGAATTCTTGGATGACTATTAGACTGTAAAAGGGATTTTGCATAATTCCTTCAAAACTTTTGAGTCTATTCCAAAAGGTATCAAATTTTCTTCTTTATCACAAAGTAATTTTCTAATGAATTTTCTAAATATTAACAAATTACAACTTATTATTATAATCTATAATTTTGTTATATTTATTATATTAATAATTCACAATTATTTGCTATAAATTAATAAATTTTTAAATATTAATAAATAACAAATGTTCTAAGAAAGTTAAATTTTAACATCAGTTTCAAGGAATTTCTATAGTCGTATTAATGGGTACTTTTTGACCTTTATTACATTTTTTGTAGGTCAAACCAACAGTTTCACATCTATAACATATTTCTTTATATAAGAGATTGTTATTTGGTACCTACCCTTCTTCAACATTTAGAGAACCACTCCAACCAACAGCATATTGCATTTCTTCCTTTCCTTTGTCACTATATTTCCATTTTGCTGAAAAATTAAGATATCAATCTACATAAGAACTCATAAAACCTCAAGTACATTAAAATATTTCATTAAAACATTTGCTCGCTCTTCAAAATATTTTTTTTTTTGCTTTTTTTTGGTGAGGCAATTGGGGTTAAGTGACTTGCCCAGGGTCACACAGCTAATCAGTGTCAAGTGTCTGAGACCGGATTTGAACTCAGGTCCTCCTGACTCCAAAGCCGGAGCTCTAATCTTTTCCCTCTTCAATGCATCCTCCACACAGCTGTTCAAGTGATTTTCCTAAAGTACATGTCTGAATATGTCACTCTCCTATTCAATAAAGTCCAGTGGCTCCCAATTACCTATATGATAATTGCTTTTGGCAATCAAACAGTGTGGTACACTCAAAATTCACAACCTGGTTCCAATCTACCTTTCTAGCCTTATTATACATTACTCCCTTTCATGCATTCTATGGTCCAGCCAAAGTAGCCTTCTTCCTGTTCCTCATAGATAAGAGCATCTTCCATTTCCATGTCTTTTCATTGGCTGTCAATAATAATTATTACTAATAATAATAATAGTTTGCATTTACATAGAGCTAAAGTTTGTAACTCTATTTACACAGAGCTAAAGTTTATTTTGTCTCTTTTTTATTTATTTTTAGTTTTCAACATTCCACAAGATTTTGAGTTCCAAATTCTCTCCCCATATCATCCCTCCCACACCCCAATATGGCATGCATTCTGTACACCCCTTCCCCTAATCTGCCCTCCCTTCTATCTCACCTCCCTTCTCTTATCCCCTTCCCCTTCTATTTTCCTGTAGGGCAGGACAGATTTCTATACTCCATTTCCTGTATTTCCCAGTTGCATGTGAAAATAATTTTTTTTAACATGTGTTTTTAAAACTTTGGGTTCCAAATTTTCATCTTCCTCCCTCTCCACCCACCCTCATTGAAAAGACAAGCAACTCTATACAGGTTATACAGGCATAGTCATATAAAATACTCCCACAGTAGTCATGTTGTAGAAAAACTAAGTCTATTACCCTTTATCCTATCCTGCCCCCCTTTATTCTATTCTCTTTTTTGACCTTGTCCCTCCTCAGCAGTGTTTACTTCTGATTACCACCTCCCCCAATCTGCCCTCCTATCTATCATCCCCCTGCTCTCTTGGCCCCTTCCCCCCATATTTTCCTGTAGGGTAAGATAGATTTCCATACCCAACTGAGTGTGTATGTTATTCCCTCCTTAAGCCAAATCCAATGAGACTAAGATTCCCTCATTCCCTCTCACCTTCTTCCATTTCCCCTCCACTGTAAAAGCCTTTTCTTGTCTGTTTTATGTGAGATAATTTACCCCAGTCTACCTCTCCCCTTCTCCTTCTCCCAGTATAATCCTCTCTCACCCCTTAATTATATTCTCCATATATCACTCCTTCATCTTCAACTTACCCTGTGCCACCTATCTATCTATCTATCCATATACATACATATACTTTTTTCCCTCCAACTACCCTAATATTGACAAAGGTCTCAGGAATTACAAATAGCATCTTTCCATGCAGGAATGTAAACACTTCAACCTTAATAAGTCTCTGATGATTTCTTTTTCCTGTTTACCTCTTCATGTTCCACTTGAGTCTTGTATTGGAAAGTCAAATTTTCTATTTTGCTCTGGTCTTTTCATCAAGAATGCTTGAAAGTCCTCTATTTCACTGAATGACCATTTTTTCCCCCGAAGGATTATACTCAGTTTTGCTGGGTAGGTGATTCTTGGTTGTAATCCTATCTCCTTTGCCCTCCAGAATATTATATTCCATGCCCTGCGGTCCCTGAATGTAGAAGCAGCTAAATCTTGTGTTATCCTGATTGTGTTTCCACAATACTTGAATTGTTTCTTTCTGACTGCTTATAATATTTTCTCCTTGATCTGGGAACTCTGGAATTAGGCTACAATATTCCTAGGAGTTTTCCTTTGGGGATCTCTTTTAGGAGAAGATTGGTAGATTTTTTCCATTTCTATTTTGCCCTCTGGTTCTAAAATATCAGGCCAGTTTTCCTTGATAATTTCTTGAAAGATGATGTCTAGGCTCTTTTTTTGATCATGGCTTTCAGATAGTGCAATAATTTTTAAATTATCTCTCCTAGACCTATCTTCCAGGTCAGTTGTTTTTCCAATGAGATATTTCACATTGTTTTCTAATTTTTCATTCTTTTGGATTTGTTTTACAGTGTCTTGATTTCTCATAAAGTCCCTAGCTTCCAAATGCTCTATTCTAATTTTTAAGGAAGTATTTTCTTCAGTAAGCTTTTGGACTTCCTTTTCCATTTGGCCAATTTTGCTTTTTAGAGCATTCTTCTCCTCATTGACTTTTTGGACCTCTTTAGCCATTTGGGTTAGGCTATTTTTTAAGGTGTTATTTTCTTCAGTATTTTTTTGGGTCTCCTTTAACAAGCTGTTGACTTGTTTTTCATGATTTTCTTGCATCACTCTCATTTCTCTTCCCAGTTTTTCCTCTACTTCTCTTACTTGCTTCTCAAAATCCTTTTTGACCTGGGACTGATTCAGATTTTTCTTGGAGACTTTGGATGTAACAGCTTTGACTTTGTTGTCTTCTTCTGGTTGTATGTTTTGATCTCCTTTGTTACCAAAAAAAGATTCTATGGTCTGACTCGTTTTGTGCTGCGTGCTTATGATCTCAGCCAATTACTTGAGTTATAAACTCTTTGTTAAGGTAGGAGTCTGCTTCCAGTGTGGAGAATGTACTGTCCCAAGCCTCAGAGGTTTTGTGCAGCTGTTTTCAGAGATACTGCTAGGGACCTGTAAATTTTCAGTTCTTCCAAGGTGCTATGATCAAGGGTGAGGTGTTTACTCCTTTTCTGGCCTGTGCTCTAGTCTATGAGTGACCACAAACACTCTTTTCTGTCTTGGAATTTTGAGGAGGATTTCCTCTCCACCACCACTACAAGCTCCACCACGCCAACATTCCTGAATCCTCACCCCAGGACCACAACCAGAACTGTGACCCAGATCCAAGCACAGGCAAAGCAAGAGAATCCTGCATCAGCAGAAAGATCCCTGCAATCCTGCTCTGATCAGTCACTCGATTCTCCCTCAGTCTAGGGACCAGAAGTTCCAGAGACAGCCACCACCCTGGGGCTGAGCTTGAGGACTGGAGCTGCAATCACGCTTCTCTCTCTCACCTCGGACACAGACTTTTCCCACTGACTGTCTAAGTCGTATTTGACATTTGTGGGTTGAGAAGTCTGGAAACCGCCACAGTTGCCCACGATTTAGTCCTCTGAGGCCTGCTCCAGGTTCACTGAGGCCTGCCTTGCCTGAGTACCCATGCCAATCTGAGCTCCTCTCCCTGACCAGTGCGATATAGACCTCTGACCAACCATCCAGGCTGTCTTGGGCTGGAAATTTGTTTTACTCTGTCTTTTTGTGGGTTCTGCTGCTTTAGAATTTGTTTAGAGCCATTTTTCATAGGTATTTGGAGGGGTTTGGGGGAGAGCTCAAGGAAGTCACAGCTTTTACTCTATCATCTTGGCTCCACCCCCCATAGAGCTGAAGTTTGCAAATACTCTTTATAAATATTATCTTATTTGATTCTCACACACACCCTTTAAGGTAGGTGCTATAATTATTCTCACTTCACAATTGAGGAAACTGAGGGTGACAAAGACCAGAGTCACAAAGTTAGTGCTGGAAGCCAAATTTAAACTCAGGTCTTTCAGACTCCAAGTCAAGCATCCTATCTACTGTGCCACCTATTCACTTCTTACCATCACCTCTTCTATATGTACATGTTGCCTCTCATAATAGAATGTAAGTTCCTTGAAGGCAGGAAATATTTTATTTTTGTCTTGGTATCTTCAGTGCCTAGCACAATGCATAATAAATATTTATTTATTGATTGATTTATGGTAGGGTAGAGAAGACAAAAAAAATAATTATAACAAAAATCAGAAAGTGTCAAGTATGGATTACAAAGTGCTACCTACTAAAGATCCAATGAGGGAAAGATTGCTACCAGTTTGCTAACTAGGGAAAGAAGAAAAATCCAAGAAAGCTTCACGAAGGAAATGACATCTAACATCGGTTTTTAAGGATGGGAAACATTTCAGCAGATGAAAAATGGAATTGTATTGCAGAATGAAGAAATACATAACCAAAGGCTTAGAAATAAGAAAGAGAATCTAAGGAAGTGCTTGGAGCTATTCACAAGATTATTCAATGATGTGCAGATTGATGGCATGGGAAAAACTAGAGACAGGGAGACAAACTAGGAGAAGTAATGAAGTAAAGAAGTAACGAAGGCTTGAGTTGGTTGGTTTTTATTTTTTTAGTCTATGTTTTCTTTCACCACATGACTATTATGAATGTTTTGCATGGTTACAAATGTATAACCTATACTGGATTGCTTGCCCTCTCAATGAGGGGAAGTGGTGAGGAAAAAAGGAAGAAATTTGGAACTCAAAGTTTTAAAAACAAATGTTTAAAATTGTTTTTACATGTAACTAGGAAAAAATAAACACGAAATAAAAAAAAGAAATAAGAAAGGCCTGAACTAGACTTATGAGTAGGAAGCAGGGGAGAAATGTAAAAGATTTTCCAGAAGTTACTTATTGAATGTTGAAGAGTGAGGAATTGAAAATGACTGTAAGTTTTGGCCCTGAGTTTTCCCTAAATGGGAAAATGGTATCAGAGATGAAACTTTGTAATTTAGAAAAAGGGAACTATTCTGGAAGTGAAGATGCACTGTTTTGGACATGGTAAATTTGATATCTCAGCAGTACATGTAAATACATATATCTAGGTAGCAGTTAAAAATCTGGGACTGGAGGTCAAGGAAAGACTGAAGCTGAAGACAATATGGAAGCTAGAAACTTTACTTCAAGTGATAATTGCAGTCATGGGAATAAAATAAGATCACCAAGAGAACGCTGAAAACAGACCCCTGTGAAACACCCTTATCTGGAAGATTGAAGGATGAAGAAAAGCCATTAAAATATCA